ATCGTCCGAGCCAAAAGAATAAGGAACCTTACTCCCAAGACACCAGGTCGGCCAGAAGCATAAGGCGGCCAAGATAGAGCAAGCATAGCAGCTAATGACTGTCAGTCGGCCAGAAGAGTTACGACCCCATTCGGCCGGCAGTCACCAGGATATAGTGCTCGACCCCGATCAACCAAATCGGACAGTTAGTGTGGGCACAATAGCTTTGGGTGTGTTTGGGGATGAGTTAATTCAATTATTGAGAGAGTTCAAGGATGTATTTGCATTTGAGATCGGCGAGATGCCAGGCATAAGTCCAGATCTGACTGTCCGCCAGAAGAAAAGAAATCATGGAGAGGAAAGGAATCAGGCGGCCGCAGCAGAAGTTAAGAAGCTTCTGGACGCCGGTTTCATTCGGCAATGCTTTTACCCAGAATGGGTGGCTAATGTGGTCCTTGTCAAAAAGCCGAATGGAACTTGGAGAATGTGCGTGGATTACACAGATCTAAACAAGGCATGCCCTAAGGATAGCTTTCCCCTGCCCAAAATCGACCGGCTGGTTGATTCGACGGCCGGGCATGCCCTGATGAGCTTTATGGACGCATACTCCGGATTCCATCAGATTCCGTTATGGGAAGAAGACCAGGAGAAAACGGCGTTCGTGATTGAGCAGGGGTTGTACTGTTACAGAGTCATGCCATTCGGCCTTAAGAATGCCCCAGCTACCTTTCAGCGACTTGTAAACACAGTCTTCATAGATCAGCTCGGCCGGAATATGGAGGCGTACATTGATGACATGATTGTCAAGTTAAAAGAGTCGGCCGACCATTTGACGGATCTAAGAGAAACATTTACCGAACTCAGGCGGCATAAGATGATGTTAAATCCAAAGAAATGTGTCTTTGGTGTTGAGTCCGGTAAATTTCTCGGATTTTTAATTGATCAACGTGGAATTGAGGCTAACCCTGAAAAAATCCAAGTTGTCTTGGACATGAAGTCACCAAGGACAATTAAAGAAGTCCAAAGATTGACCGGCTGTTTGGCCGCACTTGGTAGATTTCTGTCAAGATCAGGGGATAAGTGCCGCTATTTCTTTCAAACCATAAAAAAGAAAGCTATGTTTGAGTGGACAGAGGAAGCCGAGGAAGCATTCGTACAGCTAAAGGGCCACTTACATACATTGCCTCGGCTTGTCAGTCCACTTAAGAGCGAAAAGTTGTTCATCTATCTTGCTATCTGAGAGCACTCCTTAAGTGACGTCCTACTTGCTGAGCGGGACGGCCGCCAGATCCCTGTCTACTTTGTTAGCCACGTCCTACATAACGCTGAGCTAAGGTATCCCCCCATTGAAAAATTTGGCTTGGCATTGTACATGGCATCAAAAAAGCTGCGGCCATATTTCTTGGCACATTCAATTGTGGTCTACACAGACCAACCTTTGAAGAAACCATTTACAACGCTAGAGGCAAGCGGCCGTATGCTCAAATGGGCCTTGGAAATGAGAGGTTTTGATATTACATTTGAGCCAAGAAAAGCAATCAAGGGACAAGCCTTTGCTGATTTTTTAGCTGAAATGACTCGGCCGGATCTTCAGACGGCCGAAGATCATATCTGGAAAGTGTTCGTGGATGGCAGTGCGACAGCCACTGGTTGCGGTGCGGGTGTTATATGCCAGTGGTCCATACGAATCACGACCAAAAGTTCCACAGGAGAAACTCCTTTCTTCCTAGTATATGGTGCTGAGGCGGTCCTTCCCATTGAAATGTATGAGCCCACTCTTAGGGTGATGCTATATGATGAAGCGGCCAATTGGGAAGCCATGAAGACCGCTCTAGACTTCCTTCCTGAAGCTAGGGGCAATGCGGCGCTTAGGCATGAAATCTATCGTCTTCGGATGACCAGGGCATACAATTGCCGAGTGTCAAAGCGGTCGATAAAATTGGGAGATTTGGTCCTAAGGAAGATGGAAGCGGTCGGGCGACCAAATGAGGATGGCAAGCTGACCCCAAATTGGGAAGGGCCTTATCGAGTCAGGGAAGAGGTCAGAGATGGGACTTACCGTCTTGAAGCCATGAACGGCCGACCCATCCCGCGTACATGGAACACCGACAATCTGAAGAAATATTATGTTTAATTACTTAGCCAAAAAGCTGTGTATACAGCTAGGTCTGTTGACCGAGCAATGTAAGCCGTACGTCCATGACAATGTAATTTTGACAGATTAATGAAAAAGTCAAACATTGTTATAATCATTTTTCCATTTTATTAATGCTTATTTGTACAAGTCATAATTTATACGGATAGGCCGCGTGAAAGTTTCAAGTAGGTTACTTGCAACATAGCAACACGGTCGCAGAACAAAAATAAATTAAATAAAATAAGAATGGGCAGCTTGAGCCCAAAATTCGCACGAATGCGTCCGCCCTAAATTAATGCGGACGATAGGGGTAAGGTACCCTGTGAAACCCACATAGTGGGGCAAGGGCATACCGAGGCACTCCAGCCTAGCCGAACATGAAAATTTTAAGTTGAGATCACACTTGGAATTTCCTGAGTGCGTCCGAGCGATAGTTTCAATGGGAAAACTCAAATAAATCCCATCGAACGGCCAATTTATGTGTTGATTCGGCGTACCACCAAGTCCAAGGGCAATCATTATTATGATTTGATTAACTTGGTAAAAGTCATACCACCTAAGGTATAAATTCTACCAAGCCAATCGAATCACCCAAAGTATGGACTAGGCGAACGCCTAATAAAGGGGCATACCCCCCAATTGTACGCATATAGAAATGCAAAAAACTCGTTAAGTATAAAATAGGCAAAGTATGAAGCAAAATCGGAAGCCAAATCAATAAAAGGGCCACTCAAAAGGCGGTAAAATATCTTACATAAAAACCGCTCAAAAAGGCGGTTGAAAAAGTCAAGAAAACTATACATAAATAGAGCTTAAAAACATAGAAAGCTGAAAGTCAGGGGGCGGCCGGAGCAGAAGCTGAGTCTTGGAATGGGATGGGATCCTGAAGAGCTGCAGGAGAGGCGTCCTCAGCTGGTACCTCTTTGCTCTCCGCTTCACCATCATTGCCGTCCGCCACTTGATTTTCCTCATCCTCTGAGGTTGTTGGTGTGGCGTCCAGCTCAAGAGAAGGCTGGCTTGCTTTCTTAGCCTCCTCCCTGAGGCAGACGAAGTTGAGGCGCTTAGTGAAGCGCTCTTGAAAGTAGGCGGCCTCCCCATCCTCCACCATGAGCTCTAACGCCTCGAAGAAGAAACTCTTCAGCCTATCCTCAGCGTTCTGCTCAATGCGGACGACCTCGTCTGCGCTAGGGGCCCGAGGTGTTTGCAACTGGAGAGTCAAATCCTCAACGGACTTCTTTAAACTTTCCACCTCGGCCCTCAAAGTGTCCGACTCGTCCAAGGCCTCCTTTAAGTGTTTTGGGCCAAGGCCACATCACTTTGGAGCTTTTTGGAGGCCTCGAACCCTGCCCTCCAGCGTTCGCCGTCCAGTAGGGCTTGGTCCCTCTCTTGTCTCATGGAATCCCTGGCCAAGGACTCTTGCTTTAGGGCCTCGCCCAGCTTCACCAAATCCTCTGCCTGCCGCGCAGCTTTGTCGGACAGCGCATTGATTTGGGTCTCAAAATAGCGGCGCTGGATGGCCGCCTCCCCAGTAACAGCATCCTGGGTCTTTTGAATCTGGGCCCAAGCATGCTTCAGCCGCTCGTTCTCCTTGTCCTTCCATTCCAAGAAGGCATTCAACCGCAAGAAGAGCTGCGTACAGGGTAAATGTGTTAGCAAAATGAGCGAAAAATTGGCTAAGTGCATTTGAGGGAAAGATTTACTTCAGCGTTGCAATTGATCATGGGGCCGAGGAAGCCCTCATGAATTCCCCGCAGCTTGTCTCGCTGCTAGCAGGGACGGCCCGAGCCATGGCCTCCGGCATTGCCTTCCTGTCCGCTCCAGTAAGGGACTGGCCGGGCAGCTTCATTTGTAGCTCCTCTGCAATGTCTGTAGACAGACGCAAAGAGTAAAAAAAAAAATAGAAGAAAAGTTATTGGAACTGACCATCAGAGAAGCTTGGAGGAGTTGGGAGGTTGAAAGTGAATGACGGGGGCGGCATCGGCTCATTACTCTCCTCCCCCGTCGGCTCATTATGAGAAAGTATCACCCTAAAAAGCATATTGCAAAACAAAAATATATAATGATGATCGAATATTTCTAATAGAACGTAAATTTTTCGAGTGAATAATATAACACGTACAGTTATAATTCAGTGATGTTAAAAAAAGCTTTATTGGAAGTTTGTATTTATATAAGGAATTATGGAAGAAAAGGGGTCAATAAAATGAATTAAGAATGTGAGTAAATTGAATTGAAAGATGGAGAGAGAAGAGAAGGTTTAAAAAATTCAATTTGTGATTTAAAATAGAGGTTCAAAAAATTACTAGAAATAAAGGGGGAGATGAAGAGAAGTTCTTTGAAAAGATAAGGAAAAGGGATTAAGGAAAAAATTGATTATGAGGAAAGGTAAAAGGAAAGAAAGACATGTGACAACTTTGGTTTATGTTTTTAAATCTATGTATAGAGTACAAATAGAGGAGCCCCGATCTACAATAGGTGCGTGGAGTCTTAAAAAATGGATAGTTTTTAGGATTTTTTTTTTTTTTTTTTTTTTTTTTTTCAGAAAATACCTAATAAAATCCAAAATTTATGAGAAACTATCCAATGAAAAAAATGTTATAAGAAACTATCTAATAAAAGGTAAAGAGTTTTAAAAAATTACCTTTGGGTGAATTTTCAACTTTGACCAATAATTTTTCAATGTTTACCTACCATGAAACTTCCCCCGAAACCGCCCTTTTTAATTTGGGGTTGAGAGTGGTTTCAGCTTGGCGGTGGCAATTTAAAGTGGGGTGTGTTTGTTTTGGGGATAAAAGCAGGTGGCTTTTGAGGTATTTTGTGGGTCAACATCGAAAAACTAGGTCAGTGATGAAAATCCGGCCAAAGGTAAACTTAACGATTATATAAATATGAAGTAGGTTATAAATTTAATACTTTCATGAGTTATTACAACTCCATCTCCATAATTTGAAGTTTGCACAATACATAGCAAATATTCATGGACTAATTAGTCACTATATACATCAATGCATTAAACTCTTGAGCTAATATGGCTAAGCAAAGGTCTTGGATGGAAGAAATCCATGTTGAAGGGAAGCTTCCCATATTTTTTCAACATCGAAAATCTCATCACCGCATTCATTCACATTCCACCCTTCTAAAGCATGTACAATCCCTGCCACACGCCTCGCGCTAATCACACTTCTTGGCAGCCAGTTCTGCTTATATATGTGCATGCACACCCAAAACACAAGCAATTAAGATCTTCAATTGAGGAATTAATACTCAATTAAGATGATTAATTAATAATGGATTGTACAAACCTCACAAGAATGCAAGTTTCCGAATGATTTAGGAGCCACCAATGATGGTGTGTTGAGATAGAAGCAATCATTTCTTATTTTCTTGGGAGGGAACTGAGAGAAAGGAACAAATATAGTTCCCTTTGATGCCATAGACTGCTCGTCTTTTGTTAAATCTTCTCCGACTAACCATACCTGCATCACATTTTATATGTTAATTATCTATAATTATATAAGAGTAAAAATTATAAAAAGTTGATATTGTAAAAGTATTTTACGAGAAGAATCTATAAAACCCACACATGACTATATTTTTCTTTACGTATAAATAATCATAATATATGATCAAATTAAACAAGCGTGATGAATAGTGTAAAAGTTCAGTTGTTGTAATATTACTAGAACCGAGGATGCATGTGTTCGGAAACATATTTGGAGTCTGCATGCATGCTACCTTCTGATTATACACATTAGAAGATTGAAAGAGCAAAAGCATACCTTTTGATTAAAGCCATTTGTTATAAGAGCCAAATTGGAGCCATCTTCTGTTGTCAAAGACTTTTTAAGCTTCTCATATTCAATATTTCTAATGGTACTAACCTAAATATGATAAAAGCATAGGTTAATTTCATATACTTATATATTGAAATTCACCACATCAATAATGTAGATATCAATGGAGTACATGGCCATAAAAGGCACAAATTTACTACCTGGATGCCCTTGTGACATAGCGCCGAAACAATGGAACAAGCAACCTTCGACAGCCTACCCCTAAACATAACCTGGGAAGTTCCCACAGGAATGCTATTAAGCACCACCGCGACTACTAAGCTACTACCATCTACCACTTTTACTTTGAGCTTAGGGTGCTTTTCCAAGTAAATTTTGCCGTTTCTATTGAACTCTTCCTCCTGAGAAGTTAGTGGTCAGAAGATAAAACTTTTTTTTTTTAAATAAAATTGATTCATAAATAAAGTCATACGACATCTAAAATTGATTTATAAATAACCTGAGAAGTTAGTGATCAGAAGATAAAACTTAGCTATATATATTTCATTGTTTCAATAACATAACATTTCGTTGTTTTAATAACATAACATAAAATCAAAGAATAATAATCATAACTTAATTAATAACTTGCCTGATTTAAAAGTCCTAGGCTTACTACTTTGACTCCTTTCTCCTCTGCCTCTAGTATGGCTTCTTCAATCAACTTGTTTATAGCATCTCCCTTCGTTTGTAAGAGATACTACACCAAATATCCAATAATAAAAGGAAAAATTATCAAAAATAATACAACCTTTGATCCATTTTTAAAAATAAATTTTTGGATTATTTTGTAATAATACAACCTTTAGGAGGTGTTCATTTAAACTAGACAAAATCAAATTCTCGTTGGATTTTGAGGTTACGAAAGATTGTACTGTATTATTTCGTAAAACCCCCTAAAAGTTGTATTATTACAAAATAACATTTTATGTCACTCATAATATATGTTAGTTCCATTTTATGTCACTCATCATATAGAAATAATGTCTGGCTAAGTGAAAATAATTACTCACTTCTTTCTTAAAGCATGGCACAATCCATAATTTTGCCTTAAGCTTCTTAAATGTGTTTCTTTCGATGATGAATGTCCTACCATAGGCCCAAGCTATGAGCGCGTACCAGCATGTGAGAGGCCAGATTAGCCACATGTACCATTTGGAGTTCAAAGGGTTCGAGGCAAGTGAGGCAAACCCAAGCCGGAGATGGTAGACAGACTGCAGAGTTGTCAGATGCGTAAGGTGAACCACATCCGGAACATCTTCCGGCTTCTTCAGAGAACTTTCATAAACTATATCTGTTGATTCATCCATTGTTCCATAGATGTAATCATAGAATGGCATGAAAAGAGAGTAATTTGTCCTGAAACGGGTGTGATGCATAGAGTGATACCTGTAAAATCAGAAAATAGAGCCTTATTACTTTTATGCATTTTAAAATGGAAATTTATCAAAAAAAAGTCCTTTTAAATAGGTCTTTTTGTAGTAAAGGTCCTTTCATAAAAAAGGTGGATCCTTTTATCACACTTAGGTCGTGGAGAGGGTCTTTTGATCAGATTCAAACCATTGACTTTTTTTTTTTTTTTTTAATTTCTGGCCAAAAAAATTCATGTGTGTTGAATATGATCACTTAAATTATAAATCTTTTTTCCCCCTTCCCCACCTCAGCTGGTTCGGTTTGTCTTCAATTGCCACAATTTTAATGTGAGAGACTAGAATCGGAGTTTGATGATTTTTTTTCTTCACAAAATAGGGTTCACTACAAGAAAAAGGTCTAATTCTGACGGAAGGGTTCCGACGGACATGAAAATCCGTCGGAAAACACTTAATTTCCGTAGGAAATTTGCGACGAATTTAAAATTTTCGTCGTAAATTAAGTGTTTTCCGACGGATTTCATTCCGTAGGAAATTTCCGACGGAATGTTTGGCCGGAAATTAAAGCTTCCGACGGAATATAATTCCGTCGAAGAATTTCCGACGGAATATTATATGTTTTCGACATAATTTATTTAAAAAAAAAAAAAACCCAAACCCTAATTAAAAACGGCGCCCCCTCCCTCTTTATATTCTTATTTCTCTTTCTCTCTCCTCTCTTCTCACTCCACCTCTCTTCTCACTCACTCTCCTCTCCTCTCTTCCTCCCATCCCGCCTCTTCTTCTTCGCTCCTTATCACCTATTTCCCATTCTTTTTCAGTTTTTTCTTCTCATCCTTTTCCCCTTTCTTTTTCAGTTTTTTCTTCTCATCCTTTTCCCCTATACTCACGCATGAACATTGAACTCAAATGGGGTTTTAATTTTTTGTATAAATTAAGGTTTTTCATGTCAAATTTGACCATGAAAACTCTAGATCTAGAGTTTTCATGGTCAAATTTAACGTTTAAAACCCAAAAACACGCCAATTTCAGAGTTTTGTTGGTAAATTGCAAGGTATGTATTTTTTTTCTTATTTATTTTTGGTTTTTGCGATTTTTTTTTATTTTATGGTGATTTTGGATGAATTGCGATGATGGTGAACTCGTGGGCGGTGGCGGTGGACTCGTGGGTTAAGATCTGGCCGTGGTCTGGATCAGTTTAAGGGTGGTCAGTTTTAGGGTCGTGGTTTGGGTGGGTCTAGGTGCGTCTGGGTCAATTTAAGGGTGGGTGGCGGTGGTGGTGGTGGTCTGTAGTGGTAGTTGGTTAAGGTTTAGTGGTGGTGGTGATGTGGGTTTGGTTGGGGTTGACAGGGGATTTATGGGTGGTTGGAGGTGGTGATACGCCGTGTCGGTGGTGGCACGACGTATTTTTTTTTAATTTCCCAAAAATAGTTTCCGACGGAATTTCTGTTGAAAATTTCCGACCGAATTATATATAGGGTTCGTTTGCGTTAAGGTTGACGATGAAAAAATTAGGGCTTATTAAAGGGAAAAGGGAAAAAATGGATTTTTGTGCAAGGCATGTGAATTTTTTTTGTTGAAAAAAATAGTTAACTGTTGGAATCTGGTCTCTAAGGACCCTTGTCACAACCTAAGTGCAATAAAAGGGTCTTTTGTGTCACCATTACAACAAAAAAAACCTATTTAAAAGGACCTTTATGAAAAATAATTTTCCTTTTAAAATAGATCGAGAATTGTATTGTACAGTACATGTAAAGTTACTTACGAGGGAGTGTACATGAGATATTTCAGTGGAGGAATCATATCAAACACCCATTTCGGAGTGAACTCAAAGTTGCAATGACCCATGCTGTTCATAAAGTCGATGTAAGTGAGATACAACGCCACAGTAGCTATAGAGATAGTTCCCATGAATGTGGTTACCATCAATGGTAATCCAAGGATAAAATAATATGCTATGTGTTCAGCAAATGGATGAATCACAGCTGCAACCAAAAAAAAAATTGCTCTAGATTAAACACATATAATAATGATGAGTAACATATAACAAGGTCTAGTTGAATTAGTTACTCCACCTATTTCCAATTGATATAACAGTACGTACAACTCAACATTAATTAATCTTATTTTGATTCATATATGTATTTTCCAGGATGTTTGATCATTATGTACAATGATTATTTTGTGTTGACGACTTACCAGTATGGGGTTGAGATACAATAGAAGAATGGTGATGAGAGTGGTAGCGAGAGTAAAGGAAGTGATGGTGTAGAGCGCGATGTAACCAATAGTAGAGAAACTCAACAGGACCAATATGAATTATGAAAACTAGAAGGAGACCATCCATTCTCCATAAAGGCATGTTCTTTGCATCCTCTAGCACCCAATATGAAATATAGAATAAGATCCCATTAAACAGAATCTGGTCATCCCTGATTGTATAATTTACCACATACATAAAATAAACGTGTCACATGTATACAAAGAAAAGGGGGAAGAAAAAAAAAAAGGATTTTTTTGAAAATAACACCACAAATTTTACAAAAAATGGATTATAACACCACATAATCTCAAACTTTGACTATAACACGACAAAAAAAAAATCCAAAAATTGGATTTCACCACCTTCTAACTGAATTTTGGATGAAATCCATTAGTGGGACCCAAGATAGACACGTGGCAATAACACATTGGTTTAAAAAATAAAGGTAAAAAAAATTTAAAAAAAAGAAGAAAAACACCCTATAACCCTAACCCAGCCACTAGCCCACCACCGGCGGCCGCGACTCCACAGCCGGAGACTCCTACTGACGCCGGCAACCCTTCCTTTACCGGCGAAATCACCGGCCATCATCCCCACCCACCACATCCCCCCTCCCCCCCCGCGCAAATCCCACCAATCAATCCGTGCAAACCCTTACCACGAACCACCGAAAACCACCCATGTCGTCGCCTCACCGCAAAATCGACCCAGCTGGGGCTTCGAAAGTGGTTTTAGACCGGTTTGAAGGTGAAGCGGAAGTACAGGGGTGGTTTTTCGGGGAGGAAGCAAAGTGGCTGGGAGGTTTCGGCTGGGTTGGGTTAGGTTTCGGCTGACGGTGGTTCGGCGACGGTGTGGGCTGGGGTTTCGACTAGTTTAGGTTGGGGTTTCGATGGTGTGGTGACGGTATCGGAGGTTTTGGGGCAGGGTATGGTGACGACGGTGGTTCAGCGACGGTCTCGGAGCTTCGAGGGTTAGGTTTGGGTGACGGTGGTGGCTGGTTTAGGAATTTTTTTTTAAAAAAAAAAATTATTTTATTTAATCCAATAGATGAGTGACATGTGTTCAAAGTGAGCCCCACTAACGGATTCTTGGATGGAATTCGTTAGTAGGTGGTGAAATCAATTTTTTTTTTTATTTTTATGTGGTGTTATAATACAAATTCGAGAAAAGGTGGTGTTATAATCCATTTTTTTAAAATAGTGGTGTTATTTTCAAAAAAATCCAAAAAAAAATTAATACCTTCATTTCATATTATTTACAACGATTTAACATAAAGTAGAGAGGAAAAATGTCTAATCGTTGCAAGTAAAATGGGACAGAGAGAGTATATAAACATGTAACTGTCATTATTGATACTATTGCCAAGGAAAAACAAGCAACATGGATGTAAGTTGAGGATGATAAATTACGTTACCATTTGCTTTCCCTGTCAACTTGCTCAAAGTCGATACTCCTATCGACAATAAGGTTGTTGCCTTTTGCTGTTCGATATCGAGACAAACTTATCCATAGCTTCTGGTGAAGCATCCTCCATAGCATACAAAAGAACACAAAGAGATAGAATGGATTTCTCTCATCCGATCTCGCCAAGTACAAGTATATGCTATGAATAATCCCTGGTGCCACTAAAACATACTTCAACCCATACAATTAAATCAACTAGTTAGAGGTTATTTTTAACTGTCATTCGATCAGCAATCAGCATACATGAAATTTTATATTTGTAATGATGAAATTTTGTTGATTTAGACTTTTTGAACGAAGATGTAACATCCAGGAGTAGACGCCTTAGAAAAAGTCATACTCCTGGTAATACAGTATTAAAGTAAGTCAATATATTCTCCACTGTATGCCAAAATAAGGAAAACTCTTGGCGCATAGGCGCTATATATTTTGCAGTTGTAAATATTAACAATAGTATAAAATACCGGTAAATAGTACCATTGAATGGTGTAATGGTATAAATATTTTTTCTAATGGTACAAATAAATATGTAAATGTTGTATCAAATATTGTATTATACCATTGTGAGATATAATAGTACTACTAATACAACCTATAATCTAGTGGTACTATATACATGTACAATAGTAAAAAAAAAAAAAAAAGAGGAAAAAAAAAGCCTACAAATTACCATTATAGATGTCGAACTACTAATGTGTTTCCAAAACACAAAGGGCTTATGCGCCTAGATGCACTACTCTCAAAATAAGTCAATATATTCTCCACTGTATTAAAAATACAGTGGAAAGATCATGCCAAAATAAGTCATGCTCATGGTTTTAGAATATATTAGAAAAAGTCATCCCATTTACTAAAAACTAATACAACTTAGAAAAAGTCATATTTGTTCTTTTGAAAAAGGGGCATATCTTAGAAATTCAACAATTTTAATGATGACATAACTAAGAAAACCCTTTCAAATTTTATGTTCTCCATGGGTGAATGAAATGTATGCGAAATATATAGAATTTGAGATAAACTTATTCATCCTATATATATATGGGGAAATTAAATTTCTCATTTTCAAAAGTAAAATGTCAAGTTTTTTTTTTGTGTTGACAGAGGTTGTAGATGGGAAAAAGCCTGTTGGTTTATTTATTTATTTAGTCTTTACATATAAGAAGAAGAAATAAATTGCTTTCAAATACTACATCATATTTAGTGGTTCATTTGATAGTACTAAAAATATATGATTAAAACTATAAGAAAATTCAATGTTACATATTTCGTATTAAATAATTTTGCTTTAAATATTTTGAAATGAATATATATAAATATTAAAATTTGTAAACTGTGCATCGCACGAGTGCTATACTAGTACTATTAAGATTGTGAGATACAGTCCGACCAAGGCGACCAAATAGTCAAATACTATTTGGTTGCCACGTGTTCTTATTAGGTCATGCAAAATACTTCAATGTTGTAGAATTGCACAATATATATATATATATATATATATATATATATATATATATATATATATATATATATATATATATATATATATATCATGAATTTGTTAAAAATTTTAAAAAAATGAAACAAATACGCAATAAATAGCAATGACGAAGATATACTTGTAGTAAAATAGAGAGTACACCTTGAAGTTACCGAGAGGTTCCCACGGCCAGTGAGAAAAGATACCAGGAGTAGACGCCATACACTTTTATCTCTTACAACTTTAAACTAAGTAATTAGCACTCTCTCTTAAATTAATTAAAGCTACGACTTTATTACTATTATTATTATTATTCAAAGCCTATATATAAGCTACGTCCAACTTTATTATCATTCTCTCTTAACTTAATTATAGGAGGAGCCTGTAAGTAAGTGGCCCTACCCCTATCCCCGAGCGATTTGCTTGAGGCAACTAGCCAAGCTCTTCGTGGCGACACTCACACCAGATGTTTAATGAATATATCAATATATAATCTTAAAATAAGAAGAAAAAAAATATACGAGTAATTCCTTCGTTTTGATTTATTAAATCATGATTTTATGCTTGTCAATACATTACTTTGGCTATTAATATCTTTAATTATACTTTTGTAAAAATTATAAAAAAAATTAATATTCAACAAGTAGATATTAAGGTGAATCTAACTAGATTTCACATATATATTTGACCTTACGGTTAAATCACAAAAGATTGTCAAAAAAGATTATGTAATTAAATAGTGTCAAATTAAAGTCTTTATGGTGCAATAAAAGAAAAACAAAGGAAGTATATCAAATGTACAATATCTTTAATAGACTGGTTCACACTTATTTATTGTGAACCAATAATATTAGAGACACTATGGTTGTTTTATTACAAAAATTAAAAAAAAATGGTCACTATATTAAAATAAAGGTTATTATGTTGGAATAAAAGTCATTGTGCCATCATAAAAGCTAGAGGGGGTTATTATTTTATTTTATATATGAATAATACAAGTTAATTTTTAAAACTAGGGTCACTATGCTCAACATAACATTGTACTTTAGGTTCATAACAATAATAAAAGTCACACAAGTTTTAATAAATGCTGCTATGTTAAAAATAAGGTTAATATATTAAAATTATGATATGTAGTATGTTCCATATAAAGTCAGCTGCGTGCGTATAAGTCTCGGGTTCACAATGATATTTTTGTGGATTAGCTCCACGCAAGTTTTTTCCTATCAATTGAGCAAAAAGATCCTTGCCTTGATGGATAAAGGGGTTACATGCAATGAAAAAAATGAGGTTATTCTTTTAGTATATAAGGTGGGATTTTTCTTTTAATAGGAATAAAAAAAAAAGGGAAAGAGGTTGCTCAAATGTTCGAACAAATGGGTCAATTTTTTTATTTTATTTTTTTTAATTAATTGATAAAATTAGGTATTAATGATAAAAACACGCATAGATCAGTGTAATTAGTGTGTTTTTGTCATGATTTTTTGAATTTACACAATTTTCAAGAGTGTTTTTAATTCTTACATGTAGCCCTAAGGGCTATGTATAACATGTTCCTATATATAATACTAATTGATAGATAAAATATACTCCGTAATAACATTGATCTAAAACAAAAATTAATGCTTGAATTCATATATTAATTATTAAATAATTAAGGATTTTGGCCAGCTAAATAATTGAGTGAATAATATCGAGAAGAAACATCATAACATAGGCTAACTGCCTTAGTCAAATCACAGATCACACAGATTAAAATGAAATTCAAAAATAGAAGTTTTAATGTCGGCAACTATCATGCATCGATCTTGTATCACTCCACGAGCGTTTAACTTGACGATAATGACTCGAACAAATTAAACATGGATATATTAATTTCTGGTCTTTATATTTAAATTAAAAGTTGGGTACGTATTATTATTATTATTATTATTATTATTATTATTATTATTATTATTATTATTATTATTATTATTATTATTATCAAAAACCAACAATGTCAATCAATTTAGAAGAAATTGGTGGGGAGCCGAGATACAATTTAGGTCTCCACCCCTCTAGTTATAGCAAATCCGATCCTGTTAGTTTTAGCGAACGCCTGAATCCGCTTCAACAGCGCAATAACATCCTTCCCTAATTCCCCCACGAAGAAAAGAAGAAAGAAAGAAAACCATAGCCAAATAGGTAATAGACATGCAACCTGCCCCATCCTTCTCTAGCTTCCAAAAATTGAAATGATCCCGACAAAACCAATAATTATTGATTCCGACAAAAGACAATTGACACCCTATCATTTCAATTTATTTTTGTTAGCACTAAACAGTTAACAGTATAAGATATTAAGAAAGGCAAGAACCACATTGAAATGATAGGGTGCAAAATCTCTTTTGTCTGGATCAATTTGTACTGGTTTCCGCCTCCACCATTGCCGGTTTACTGTGGGATGATGTAATAATTTCTGCCGTTTAGCATTATTTCACCATCGATCCTACTCATTTACACGCTAGGTATAACATCCGTTCTCTTATTTTCTTTCCATTGCTTTTATTTATTTATTTATTTAGGGCATTTAATTTTAACAGAATTTGGTTAAGAAATATAGAATTGTGATTTGCTAATAATCGAATTTTTATTGTGGGAATTAGAAATCATGAGTTTATTACCGGGTTTCAAATCGAATAGGGTATTAAATTGGTGAATTGTGTAGCCATGATTACCAAAGTAACCACCTTCGTAGCGTAGGGAAGTTGAAATTATAAGAGAAATCTTGAGATGCACCAATTTCAATTTCTTGTTAATTATTTGTGGCTGTTTTAATTTGAGTTAATTCTTGGTATTTTAATCAACAGTTGGTAGAAGTTTTGAATAAGTATTTAGTTGTGCAATGGATCCCTCTATCATGAAGCAACTCAAAGAGGATGAGGTATTTAATCCTCTATTGCCGATGTTTTCTAAGTACTTGTATATTACTTTGTGTTGTAAATTTCTAAGTATGTTTTGGTTGCCTTAGAGATGTGCCAGTCTTGGCAGTTATTTTTGCTTATCTGATCCGTCAACAACCCCTCACTTTAACATTTTTCAAAAGATTTCAATTGAATAATGCAAATGAAGTAAGTAGTAAAATATGGATGGTATATATTACTATGTATTATGAATTTTTTTGACGGGAACTATGTATTATGAAATTCAAGCAAAGTAAATTTGGTGAAAACTGAAAAATTATTATTAAACTTAATTCATTGAAATTTTATTATTTTGTATTGAAATTCTAGCATAGTGCATTATTTTGTATTGAAAAAATATCCACTATTATTTAATTTTTATAGGGAAAAAAGTTTGTGACGCGCATCCATTATTATTTAATCAGGGGTAGCACGAGCCCCTCGGGATACAATGTAGGTCGTTTGCCAGTGGTCACCAGATAAGAATGTTAGTTGTTAGCTTGTTGCTAATGCTAGCTAGGGCCTAGTCCCGACATGTTAAGTGATAGGATGAAACTAAGTTTTCACTGTACTACATTTACAATAACAAAAATGTGAACTACAATTGTGGTGGATGTAGAACAATAATTTAATTGAGCGTACAGAATAAAATTGATTTTAAAAGTGATAAGATTAAGTGTGACATGCAAGTCATGTTAAAGGTGAGTTTAATTTGTACACTTATGTGAGATTGCATTCTAATTATTCCTTAATTGAAATTTTCTTCCTGTAGGCCTGCTTGTATTTTTTTTAAAAGGCGGAATGAATATCTAGTTATTTTATAATGAACATATAATTGTTTAGTAAAGAACATATAATTGTTTTATAATATACATAAAACTGTTTTGTAAAGAACATTCAGTTTTATGTTCTTTTTTTTTTTATATCTAAAGAAAATCTGTAATGTTAATAAAGAACATGATAATATAATGTAATGAATATTATTCAATCACCATACTCTAAAGACAAAAGTCAAAGAATATTTCAAAATAAACAATGAACATTATAACATTGTACTGACAATCAAAGAACATGGAGATAAAGAACATTATTTAACCATATGTTCTTTTCACTTTAGGTTTATGTTCCTACATTTTACTACTATTTTCTTTTCACTATATGTATATATATGTTCTTTACATTTAATAGTATGTTTTTTTTAACTGTAATTATATATTCATTATATTTCTATAATATGTTCATTCCGCTATTTTTTTTTTACTCAAACGTATACAGTATGCACCAATAAGGATGGTGCATAAGCCTCCAGGATCAAGCTTTGTTTCTTAATATCCATTAAATTTTAAATTAACCAATCTTCTTTCTTTTACAACGACAATTATTCACATAATTAATTCAATAGACATTTTACTCAAACACTTATCAATTTATATGAAAAAAAGAAGTGTGTGATGAATAAGAGAATCATGGTGAAGAGAAGTGATTTACAAAGTCCAAAAAAAATGTTGTAGATATGTAGATATGTCATATGTGCAATAGATACAGTTATGCGGAGAAAGTACTTTGAAAGTAAGACATTTATGATAATGTTTACCAACAAAATTGATGTGAGAACAAGTCCAACGTGAATATTATATAGTCATTGTGATATAATTTGAAGCTAGGGTGTGTGTTGGAATTGGAATATGTGCTTCAAATTGTTAATGCGTAATTAATAACACCTAGGGCATGCTTGGATTGAGAGTAATACATTAAGGGGGTAATAAAAGTCAAACTATAAAAAACAAAAGTAATTAGAGGTGGTGTTGTGGCAGTCCTAATATTTACGATTGAAATAAGATAGTTGTGCCATTAGGAAATGAGAGATGGAGGCCGGAATTATTACTCTTATAATGAGGGTAATAGTTACCCACCCTCCCCCTAGTGTAACCATTGCCTCCAAAATGAGGGTATTAATTCCTGATCTTTCTTTATCTCATACCATACCATCACTACATAATTTTCTTACAGTCACATCATCACTATCTCCTTCTTCCCTATTTTCACATTCATTTTGCTTAGTTTGACTTTTATTACCCCCTTAATATATTACCCCCAATCCAAGCATGCCACTAATGTAAAGGAATTTGCTCTCCAAAGTGATTAGTTTGCCTTAGCGGACTCTTAAGAGTAGTGGGTTAATGCTAGGCATCATCATCATCATCATCGAATCATGTTCACCATGTTTAAATACAAAATTAGTTTCATCTCTACAACTATAATTTAAGCACATTCAAGCAAAGCATGCTCACAATGTTTTGATGTCAACCGACTGCAAATAGTAGCTCTACTAAACTCAGCTTACATACAATAATGCTTTGGATGATTTTTGACTCAAGATCAATTGATACTATTCGACATGGCGTTATTTGGATGATTATTACGGACTATAGAGTTGTTGAGGGTAAAAATACCCCGTATACGTGGACCAATCCCACAGTGACACGTGGCCCAATTATGGGGTGACACGTGTCACCACGGGAAGATGCCACGCAATCCAGAGTTTTTAAGGTCTCAGGCCAATCCCATGGTGACACGTGGCCCAGCCATAGGGCGACACGTGTACCACGGGAAGATGCTTCTAAAAAAGAGCACGCCAAAAAGCCCTAACAACGTCAGGGCCCAAATTTTGAGAGATGACATTGAAAGCCGCAAAACGGCGCCCCTGGAGGGGCACGTGGCGATCGCTGATTGCGCAGCCAATCACGTCACGCAAGTCTAGGGTATAAACCCTAGAGGGGCACGAATCCCACCCCTATAAATACCCCAATCATTTATGATGAGGGGGGAATTTTTTTCGGACAATTGAAAACACAGAGCATTAAATAGCTCTAACTTCTCTCTACTTTCTCTCTCTAGCCCTTTTTCCGTTCTGATCACTGACTTGATCGTCGGAGGCGAATATTCCGTTGAACGGAATATTCGTGGTTTTGCAGGTGGGACCAACGTATTGTCAACAAACGTGACCAGTATCCCAGGAGATTAAAAAAAGACCCGAAACATTTGGCGCCGTCTGTGGGGATACTCGTACGTTATGGCGATAGACGGTCAGACACCTAATCCAGGCGAGGATGGACATGTAGAGGATATAATCCCTACGATCCGTACTAGTGATCCTCTAATAGCCACATTTGAAGAAGCTGATGATCCTCTTGTTAATGCAGCCTCTCTTAAGGCCGCGCTTAACAAAATCAGAAAGGAAATTGAAAACGGAGCCTCTACCTCTAGGCAGCCGCCCAGGAGAGAGGAACAGAGGGCTCCAAGAAAGACACACAGCAAAACAATCCATGCAACGGACGCCGGAAATACTCCATTTCGGAGGCCGACTGGAAGGTCCCCGAGAGTACCGCGGACTAATTTATCTGACTTGTTGGTGAAAACGCAGTCGGCTGGGGGGAGGGGTAGGCAGCCTCGTAGAGAAGAGCCTGAACCGTCCAGACGATGGAAGGACGCAAGAGAGTATCTTAGGCATAAGCAGCGGGAACGCGTTGCCCACTCGGACACAACTTCAACCCCAACTATGCCAGATAATTTTTCACATCACTCTCTCTCCCAACATACCAACATGGCCACCTCCAGTGGAAGTCAGGCAATTCGCACCCCAACTCCTATTCCAGTCTTCCATGCTCCAACTCCTATTCAGGCCCAATCACTGCAATATCAACCTCAGGGGTTCAATGGCTTGATGCAGCCAAACCCCCAGGGATACGTACAATATGGGCCATATGGGCAGGTGTACGGACAAACTCCCTATCTGACTGGATCGTCCGTGCAACCGCAACCCATTGATTGGCAAATGCGCCTACTTACTCTGGGAGATAAGCCGCCCCCGTTTTTGCAAGATATCCTAAATGCCCATCAGCCACCAATGGTGAAAAGTGTACTTGTGGGAGCCTATGATGGCACGGGCAACACAGAGGAGCACATCACCTCGTACAGGAACCTAATGTACTTGCAAAGTGTAGATGATGCTACGTGGTGCAAATGTTTCCCGGCCACTCTGAAGGGTGTGGCACAGGACTGGTTCAATAGCTTGCCGGCCGGTTGTATCAATTCTTAGTTTGTTGTTCGTGGGAAATTTTTCATACAACATACCACCTCGAAAGACTAGCCTTAACTTGGCGACAATCGTCCAAGAAAAAAAATGAGGGCTTACGCTCGTACGTCCAACGATTTAACCAAGAAAAAGCCCAAATTCATAATCTGCCTGATGAAATGGCTTACTCTGAATTTCTCCGGGGATTAAGGCACAATGGTTTTAAATTTGACTTTGTAAGGAAAAAGATTCGGACATACGCAGGTGTTCTGCGGGAAGCCGAAGCTTATATTGAGGCGGCGGACTTTTGTTCGCTCACAAAAGCAGAAGCGCCGGCCAAGGGGGCTGAGAAAAAATCTTCTCAGCAAGACTCGGCCGGCCAAAAGAAAGAAGGAAAAAAGAGAAAAGAAGTCTGGGTGGCTGATGGCCAGCCGCAGAAAACCACGAAGGTCAAGGCGTACGAGCCCTAGTTTGAATTCAACAAGGATTGTTATTCTATTTTGATGGAAATCAAGGATAAGTTTGAGTTTGAGAAGCCACAGCCGCTGAGAGGCCCGGCTTAGTACAGGAACAAGAACAATTATTGTCATTACCACAAGGAAGTGGGAAATGACACAAATGATTGTATCAACTTGAAGAGACTGCTGGACAAATTGGCCGAGTAGGGCATGCTGAATTCATATGTGATGAAGTCCAAATTCACTTACACACGGACAAACAACACGTCCGAGCAAAGACAGAAGAATGATAAGAACAAAGACAAAGAGGATGATGGCAACATCACTGATTCGGGCTTTGTGGCCGTGATATCAGGAGGATTTGCCTCAGGCGGTCCCACTATGAGAGGGATCAAGCAGGATGCTCGGAACCTGGGAAAGGTGATGCAGATGGATTCAGTGAAGGCTGAACCCTTCCCCGAGGTAATTATCAGTGAGGCCGATCGGGGGGAGGTCAAAGCCTTGCACAATGATCCCATGGTATTCATTATGAAGATAGCCAATCTGAAGGTCGGACGAATATTAATAGACACGGGTAGCGCGGCTGATATCATCAGCCTGGCCGCCTTAAAAAATCTAAGCTTTCCAGAGGATGCTCTCCAAGACATCACTCACCCGTTGGTCGGATTTGGGGGGAATGTCATCCACCCGGTGGGCCGGATATATTTACCCGTCCGATTTGGGCAAAAAGGGGAGGGAAGAAATATGGTCGTCCGCTTCTTGGTTGTGAAAGAGCTTACTTGCTATAATGTCATACTCGGCCGTCCTACGCTGAATGCAGCAAAAGCAGTCATTGTGCCTCACCTAATGCTGCTAAAGTTTGAGAGGACGGACGGGAAAATAGGTACAATCCAAGGAAGTCAGAAGATGGCAAAGGAATGTAATCAGTTGGCGGTTAAGCCTACAGCGCGCGGACCAAAATCGTTCGAGCCAAAAGAATAAGGAACCTTACTCCCAACACACCAGGTCGGCCAGAAGCGTAAGGCGGCCAAGATAGAGCAAGCATAGCAGCTAATGACTGTCAGTCGGCCAGAAGAGTTACGACCCCATTCGGCCGGCAGTCACCAGGATATAGTGCTCGACCCCGATCAACCAAATCGGACAGTCAGTGTGGGCACAATAGCTTTGGGTGTGTTTGGGGATGAGTTAATTCAATTATTGAGAGAGTTCAAGGATGTATTTGCATTTGAGGTCGGCGTGATGCCAGGCATAAGTCCAGATCTGGCTGTGCACAAATTAGCGGTAAATCCGGCCGTTAAACCTGTCCGCCAGAAGAAAAGAAATCATGGAGAGGAAAGGAATCAGGCGGCCGCAGCAGAAGTTAAGAAGCTTCTGGACGCCGGTTTCATTCGGCAATGCTTTTACCTAGAATGGGTGGCTAATGTGGTCCTTGTCAAAAAGCCGAATGGAACTTGGAGAATGTGCGTGGATTACACAGATCTAAACAAGGCATGCCCTAAGGATAGCTTTCCCTTGCCCTAAATCGACCGACTAGTTGATTCGACGGCCGGGCATGCCCTGATGAGCTTTATGGACGCATACTCCGGATTCCATCAGATTCCGTTATGGGAAGAAGACCAGGAGAAAACGGCGTTCGTGACTGAGCAGGGGTTGCACTGTTACAGAGTCATGCCATTCGGCCTTAAGAATGCCCCAGCTACCTTTCAGCGACTTGTAAACACAGTCTTCATAGATCAGCTCGGCCGGAATATGGAGGCGTACATTGATGACATGATTGTCAAGTCAAAAGAGCCGGCCGACCATTTTACGGATCTAAGAGAAACATTTACCGAACTCAGGCGGCATAAGATGATGTTAAATCAAAAGAAATGTGTCTTTGGTGTTGAGTCCGGTAAATTTTTCGGATTTTTAATTGATCAACGTGGAATTGAGGCTAACCCTGAAAAAATCCAAGTTGTCTTGGACATGAAGTCACCAAGGACAATTAAAGAAGTCCAAAGATTGACCGGCTGTTTGGCCGCACTTGGTAGATTTCTGTCAAGATCAGGGGATAAGTGCCGCTATTTCTTTCAAACCATAAAAAAGAAAGCTATGTTTGAGTGGACAGAGGAAGCCGAGGAAGCATTCGTACAGCTAAAGGGTCACTTACATACATTGCCTCGGCTTGTCAGTCCACTTAAGAGCGAAAAGTTGTTCATCTATCTTACTATCTGAGAGCACTCCTTAAGTGTCGTCCTACTTGCTGAGCAAGACGGCCGCCAGATCCCTGTCTACTTTGTTAGCCACGTGTTCGTCTATCTTGCTATCTTCAGACGGCCAGAGATCATATCTGGAAAGTGTTCGTGGATGGCAGTGCAACAGCCACTAGTTGCGGTGCGGGTGTTATATGCCAGTCACCTGAAGGAGATAAGTTTGAGTACGCCCTGAGATTCCAGTTTCAAGCCTCTATTAACGAGGCCGAGTACGAAGCCCTCTTGGCCGCCTCAGAATGTGTAAGGCGGCAGGAGCGACAAAAATTGACGTGTGCTCGGACTCCCTACTTGTAGTCGGCCAGGTGAATGGAGACTTCGAGGCGAGGGAGCCAGCCATGATAAAGTACTTGAAGATTGTAAAATAGGAGGCTGAGAGCCTAGATCATTTTACCCTACAGCAGGTCGCACGTTCGTCCAACCATCAGGCGGACGCCCTCTCTAAGTTAGCATCCTCAGCATCATGTGATACTCCCAGGTCAGTGTTTTGGGAAGTAAAGGGGAAGAGGGGCATTGATGTTGAGCCAGTGCATGCAATTGATAGAAGCTCCACTTGGATGGACGAGATCCTGTCTTACCTCAAGGACGGATTACTCCCGGCTGATCCTAAAGAGAGCTGGTTGATGAAAAAGAGAGCGGCTTGGTTTGAAGTTAAGCAAGGAGAGTTTTTCAAAAAGGTATTTGTAAAGCCGTACCTGAAATGCATTACTCCTGAGAGAGGGTATGAGGTCTTGGATGATATTCACTAGGGGCAGTGTGGTTCTCACATTGGAGGACGCGCTTTGGCTGAAAAGGCTGCCCGCCTGGGTTACTACTGGCCGAGCTTAAAGTCGAACGCAATGGAAATGGTGAGGAAATGTGACAAGTGCCAGAGGTTTGCAACATTAATTCACCGACCCGCCAACAGCCTTTCGGCCATCAGTAGTCCGCTCCCCTTTGCCAAATGGGGGGTGGACATCTTAGGTCCATACACACCAGCGTCCGGCCAGAGGCGGTATGTGTTTGTAGCGGTTGACTACTTCACAAAATGGGTAGAGGCCGAGGCCGTCCGAGGCATCAAGTGGACAGATGTTACAGCCTTCATATGGAAGAGTATCATCACGCGTTTTGGCGTTCCCCAGTCTATGGTGTTTGACAATGGACCTCAGTTTGAAACGCCTCAACTCAAAAAATGGTTAGAAGACCAAGGCACAACTCATTGCTTTGCTTCGGTCGGCCGCCCACAAGCGAATGGTCAGGTAGAGGCATACAACAAATTGATCTCCAATGGAATTAAGCGCAAGCTAGAAAAAGCAGGTGGCTTGTGGGATGACGAGTTGATTAATGTGCTGTGGTCCATACGAACCACGGCCAAAAGTTCCACAGGAGAAACTCCCTTCTTCCTAGTATATGGTGCTGAGGCGGTCCTTCCCATTGAAATGTATGAGCCCACTCTTAGGGTGATGCTATATGATGAAGCGGCCAATTGGGAAGCCATGAAGACCGCTCTAGACTTCCTTCCTGAAGCTAAGGGCAATGCGGCGCTTAGGCATGAAATCTATCGTGTTCAGATGACCAGGAAGATGGAAGCGGTCGGGCGAGCAAATGAGGATGGCAAGCTGACCCCAAATTGGGAAGGGCCTTATCGAGTCAGGGAAGAGGTCAGAGATGGGACTTACCGTCTTGAATCCACGAACGGCCGACCCATCCCGCGTACATGGAACACCGACAATCTGAAGAAATATTATGTTTAATTAGTTAGCCAAAAAGCTGTGCATACAGCTAGGTCTGTTGACCGAGAAATGTAAGCCGTACGGCCATGACAATGTAATTTTGATAGATTAATGAAAAAGTCAAACATTGTTATAATCATTTTTCCATTTTATTAATGCTTATTTGTACAAGTCATAATTTATATGGATAGGCCGCGTGAAAGTTTCAAGTAGGTTACATGCAACATAGCAACACGGTCGCAGAACAAAAATAAATTAAATAAAATAAGAATGGGCATCTTGAAACCAAAATTCGCACGAATGCGTCCGCCCTAAATTAATGCGGACGATAGGGGTAAGGTACCTTGTGAAACCCACATAGTGGGGCAAGGGCATACCGAGGCACTCCAGCCTAGCCGAACATGAAAATTTTAAGGTGAGATCACACTTGGAATTTCCTGAGTGCGTCCGAGTGATAGTTTCAACGGGCAAACTCAAATAAAGCCCATCGAACGGCCAATTTATGTGTTGATTCAGCGTACTACCAAGTCCAAGGGCAATCATTATTATGATTTGATTAACTTGGTAAAAGTCATACCACCTAAGGTATAAATTCTACCAAGCCAATCAAATCACCCAAAGTATGGACTAGGCGAACGCCTAATAAAGGGGCATACCCCCCAATTGTACGCATATAAAAATGCAAAAAACTCGTTAAGTATAAAATAGGCAAAGTATGAAGCAAAATCGGAAGCCAAATCAATAAAAGGGCCACTCAAAGGGCGGTAAAATATCTTACATAAAAACCGCTCAAAAAGGCGGTTGAAAAAGTCAAGAAAACTATACATAAATAGAGCTTAAAAACATAGAAAGCTGAAAGTCAGGGGGCGGCCGGAGCAGAAGTCGAGTCTTGGAATGGGATGGGATCCTGAAGAGCTGCAGGAGAGGCGTCCTCAGCTGGTACCTCTTTGTTCTCCGCTTCACCATCATTGTCGTCCGCCACTTGATTTTCCTCATCCTCTGAGGTTGTTGGTGTGGTGTCCAGCTCAGGAGAAGGCTGGCCAGCCTTCTTAGCCTCCTCCCTGAGGCAGACGAAGTTGAGGCGCTTAGTGAAGCGCTCTTGAAAGTAGGCGGCCTCCCCATCCTCCACCATGAGCTCGAACGCCTCGAAGAAGAAACTCTTCAGCCTATCCTCAGCGTTCTGCTCAATGCGGACGACCTCGTCTGCGCTAGGGGCCCGAGGTGTTTGCAACTGGAGAGTCAAATCCTCACGGACTTCTTTAAACTTTCCACCTCGGCCCTCAAAGTGTCCGACTCGTCCAAGGCCTCCTTTAATTGTTTTTGGGCCAAGGCCACATCACTTTGGAGCTTTTTGGAGGCCTCAAACCCTGCCCTCCAGCGTTCGCCGTCCAGTAGGGCTTGGTCCCTCTCTTGTCTCATGGAATCCCTGGCCAAGGACTCTTGCTTTAGGGCCTCGCCCAGCTTCACCAAATCCTCTGTCTCCCGCGCAGCTTTGTCGGACAGCGCATTGATTTGTGTCTCAAAATAGCGGCGCTGGATGGTCGCCTCCCCAGTAACAGCATCCTGGGTCTTTTGAATCTGGGCCCAAGCATGCTTCAGCCGCTCTTTCTCCTTGTCCTTCCATTCCAAGAAGGCATTCAGCCGCAAGAAGAGCTGCGTAAAGGGTAAATGTGTTAGCAAAATGAGCGAAAAATTGGCTAAGTGCATTTGAGGGAAAGATTTACCTCAGTATTGCAATTGATCATGGGGCCGAGGAAGCCCTCATGAATTCCCCGCAGCTTGTCTCGTTGCTCAGCAGGGACGGCCCGAGCCATGGCCTCCCGCATTGCCATCCTGTCCGCTCTAGTAAGGGACTGGTCGGGCAGCTTCATTTGTAGCTCCTCTGCATGTCTGTAGACGAACGCAAAGAGTAAAAAAAAAATAGAAGAAAAGTTATTGGAACTGACCATTAGAGAAGCTTGGAGGAGTTGGGAGGTTGAAAGTGAATGACGGGGGCGGCGTCGGCTCATTACTCTCCTCCCCCGTCCGGCCAGGCTGATCGCCGGCCGACTGATTGGCATCAAGCCAATCAGATTCATTGACTCTTTGGACGGGCGAAGTCTCTTCTGGCCCGGTCGGTTTTGCCTAGGTCGACTTACCCCTATCGTCCGATTTCTCGGACCTAACATGATCCGGCAAGGCGGCCGGATCCATGGACTTGGAGGCCCCGCTATCACTTAGCCGGGGTTGTTCTCCTTTGGACTGTCTTGAGACAGTCCGCGACGTCGTCTTGGCCGCAGAAGTGGAAGTGGTCTTGGATGCGACCGTCTTCCTTTGCTTGGAGGCCTGGCCGTCCTGATCCGTCTTGGACGCAGGAGATGACTGCTTCCGCTTGGAACTGGGGGTTGGAGTGGCCAGCTGTAGAAACAAAATTTAGAAAAATAAAGCAAGATAATATAATAGGCCGAGCCTAGTCAGGAAGAAGATCTCTTCCGTAATGCATACACGGACGTAAGAAAGAAAGCTAGATGGGTTTACTTACTCCTTTAGTTTGCTTGTACAGTCTTTGGCGAGCCTTGTACCGAGCCAGGTCAATCTCGGACATGTTGACCTCCCCTTTTTTCTCCTTGTCCAGCATCTCGTACGCCTCAGCTGAAAGAAGAAGAAAAAGAGTTAGAAGATTTTTCAAGATCAAATATTATGTGTAAGTGTAAGAATATGTGTCTGTGCGTCCACCTTGGGGCAGGTTTCTGTATAGGTCGTAGGCGGACATGAAGGTGGGATCCCGCAGCTAGCCGGATAAAGGGACCCAGTTACTTGGAACGCGCTCAGTCTTGCCGTTCCTTTTCACCCGCTTGACTTTGAAGTATTCAAGCTGGTGTTCCTGGCTGGGGTGGACGGGTGGCTTATCGGACTTGAGATCCCCGCGTCCAATTTGAATTGGCTCAGCATTGAACCGATTCATCCGCAAGTTAAATTCGACGTCCTTAGTTTTGACGCGGTAGAATCGGTGCTTCCAGTCACGCCACTTGGAGACGCGGTCCATCACCACCATGTAATCCCTAGTGGTTCTCAAGATGAGCCAGCCGTCCGTATCCGCGTCCAGCTTAGTCAGTGAGTGCATCTCGCAGAAAACAGCAAAGTCTGGCACGAAGCCCTTGCAGATGCACGTCACCAGGTATCCAAAAATGTTCAACCAGCTGTTTGGCATCAGCTGGAAGAGAGCTATGTCATACTCGTCCAAGATTGTGCGGACGAAAGGATGGAGGGGGAAGCGCAGTCCAACGTCTAAGGCCGCCCTGTAGACGCTGAAGGATCTTTGGCGCGGCCTCTCTTCTTCCCAGGCGGCCAAGGAGCGGGACTTCCTTGGAGGCTGGATCTCAAATCCTTCCCTGAGGAGGAGGAATGCCTTGTATTCCTCAAAGTTGTGGTTCAGGTAGCCCAAGGCCGCGCTACCCACCATGCAGGCGTACGGATCCTTGAAGTTGTCAATATTGGCAACCTCTTCATCGACCGCCCCTTCGCCCTCTGCGGCCGCCGCTCCACCCTCGGCCGCATTTTCAGCTTCGCCCTCCTCTCGTTGAGGAGCGCTCCCAAACTCGGAGGACAACACTCTATCGAGGTGAGCTGCCTCCGCCGAGCTGCGGCTCCTAGAGCTATGGCAGCCTCGGAGGGAGATTGTGTCTTCAAGTGGTCGTTTGCCCTCACCGGCCGCCTGACTCCCAGTAGGAGGGGCTCTGCGAAGGGGCAGGTCGGACGGTTCGTTAAGAGAAATCCCCATTCTTGGTCTGTCCGACCCGCCATATCGGAGATAGAGTTCTGAAGGAGTGGGGACGGACGCATAAGCGTCCGCTCAAGAAGAGGAAGGAGGCCCCTCACAGAGTAGCAACTCGGCCCCATCCATGACCGAGCTGGCATATTGGGGGAACCTCAACTCCGGAGTTTGCCCGGACGTTCCCCCCCACTAAAGGAGCGCCTTGAGTTCTTTGACGCTATTCAAATGAGGAAGTTACCTCCACGGCCAAGCAGTGAGTGCCCGTGGAAGCGGTCGTAGGAGTAGTGGAAGGGGTCTCAGCATTAACTCTGTTTAGGTCATAAGGCAGCCTAGGGTTTACCAGACTTCCGTCTGGATTTCTGGCCGCGTGACGGTCGTGCGTTTGCATCGTTCGTGCCATGTTCAACTGCAGGGACAGAGAAGAATGGGTGGATATGAGTTGGTACACACTAGAAATGGACCCACTCCATGAAGGAGACAACTCGTCTCCGTCCACTCTAACTCCTCAGTCCCAGGCGAACGACCGGCCTCATGAGGAGAAACGGACGAAGCCGAGTGTTGAGCCAGCTTTTAAATAAACAAAGAAATAAAAAGACAAGGAAAAGAAATGCAGGCGGCCTACCTCTGTACGTGTTGAAAACCTGGAGAAACTTGAAGATTGATCGGAAACCTCACCTAATGTCACCGGAAAACTCAAAGTCGTGGCGGAGCTCTTGAAGATTCAAAGGAAAAAACACTTTCTCTCTCTAGGAGCTCTGACTTCTCTCTAGAAAATGTAAAGTTCCAAAGTGCCAAAATGAAGTCAAAGCCCTTGTATATATAGGAAAAATTTATGGGGGTAAGATGGTAAATTCAACTTTCCCGCCCAACATAGCTAAACGGTTACAATTTGAAAAAAGTGACCTAGAATTTGGAAGGACACGGAGCAATTCCGTCAAAATAGACGGAAGGAACGACCTAATAAACGGCTCGTCCAAGGGAAAGCTGGCAGAACTAAGGCTCATTCCGAAACGGCAAGACGGCCGCAAAAATCGACAGCCCAACTTCGTCCGCGCCGCTCGAATAGACAGGCGTTCGCCTTAAAAATGTTAGGCGGACAGAAAGTCGACAAACCGCTAAAACATCTGTACGCGCCAAGGCTATCAAAGGTCAGAGGAGCCGGCCTATTAGCGTGCAAGCCATCCCCTCTGAGGGGCAAATGTTGAGGGTAAAAATACCCCGTATACGTGGACCAATCCCACAGTGACACGTGGCCCAATTATGGGGTGACACGTGTCACCACGGGAAGATGCCACACAATCCAGAGTTTTTAAGGTCTCAGGCCAATCCCATGGTGACACGTGGCCCAGCCATAGGGCGACACATGTACCACGGGAAGATGCTTCTAAAATAGAGCACGCCAAAAAGCCCTAACAACGTCAGGGCCCAAATTCTGAGAGATGACACTGAAAGCCGCAAAACGACGCCCCTAGAGGGGCACGTGGCGATTGCTGATTGCGCAGCCAATCACGTCACGCAAGTCTAGGGTATAAACCCTAGAGGGGCACGAATCCCACCCCTATAAATACCCCAATCATTTATGATGAGGGGGGAATTTTTTTCGGACAATTGAAAACACAGAGCATTAAATAGCTCCAACTTCTCTCTACTTTCTCTCTCTAGCCCTTTTTCCGTTCTGATCACTGACTTGATCGTCGGAGGCGAATATTCCGTTGAACGGAATATTTGTGGTTTTGCAGGTGGGACCAACGTATTGCCAGCAAAGCGTGACCAGTATCCCAGGAGATCCAAAAAAGACCCGAAACAAGAGTAGCCTTTTAACTTCCAGGTTCAATATATCTTAATTAGACAAGTGTAATGTACATCATTTATTATAGAGTGTTAAATGTTAATTGTGACTTGAAATCTAGTGACTTGAATTCTTGAGTTGATTCAAGTTGGAGGTGATAGCTTGTTTAAAATGTTTTCCAACGATAGGTCATATGGCCAATTTCGATTAGAAATGAGAAAGTTATGTGCCCTTCATAGCTTGTCCATGCTTGGTCGCGTGAGCGTTTTTTTGCTTCCAATTTTGGGTACGTTTATGACAGCTACGTTACTAATGATATTCATTGGGGAATAATTAGAGTTTTCTTATGTTATACTGTATAAGAAATCATTGGGTGGACAATTATTAAGTGTTTAAGTAGTGCTCAGATTAATTAGCCTAGCCAATTCAAGCCAATATGTAATACTCTATTCCAGATGTTTTGTGAGATAAAGATAGTTGTATCTCCTTGATTATATCTCTTGTTTATCCTCAGAACGGTGTACATTTCATGTCATTTTTATCCGAATATTATATTTGCATTAATTTATCTAATCCCCCACCCTCTTTTTTAAGTGTTACATTTTTAATTTCTAACGTGACTTTTTTTTTTTTTTTTTGGAGTTTCCAAATGGTACCACTAAATTTGATTTTTTCAAATGGTACCCTTATTTTATCTTTCTTCCAAATAGTACAATTACACTTAGTACAATTACCCTTATTTTAGTCTAATAGCTACGTACAGTAGGTTTACTAAACTCTAAACTTAATTAACAGTGGATTTACTATAGCTATTAGATTTTTTTTTTTTTTTTGAACAATACTATAGCTATTAGATTAATAATTCAATAGTACTATATAATTGAGTATGCAAATTATAGGGTAACTAAATTAAGAGAATTGGTCGTTCATTTGAATTACTGAAGAAAAACATAAAAGAAATCAAAAGAGAAAATGAAATAATGACCAATAGATGTTATTATCAAGTGCGTGCAAACGACATATTTAGTCATACTAAATTACATGTAAAATCACGGACCTTTGCAAGGTTGGCTTTCTAAGTGATTTAGTAAATAGTGTGTTTTTTGTACAAAATAAAATTTCTGCCACTTTCAATTCCTTTTATTCAATTTACAGGTGTGTGTACCCGATGATGATAACATGCTATACCCTAAGTGACAAGGACATTTGAGGTAAGAAGATTACTAGCAAAATGTGTACCAAATAAAATACAAGTAAAAAATAAAAAAATAAAAAATAAAACTACCGTAAATAGTTGATTGGTCAACAAATTAGACGGGTTGTATGTCACTTTAGCTACTTGCTTGGCCTTTGTTCTGATCCTATAAATATGTTAAGCAAAGTGAGCTTATATCATCTTTGTCAAAAAGCTTATTTCATTATATTATAAACAAATCCAATCTACAAGTAAATCAAACTTAGCTATATTTTTGTGAGTTTGATCATGGATTTCAGAAGCATAACCGAGTTTTTAAGCAACAAAACTATCTTAGTTACCGGTGTTACGGGCTTCATTGCTAAGAGTAATAATTTCTCTATCTCCCTTAATAAAATACTATATTGTATAAGGGCCTGTACAAGCAGACCCTTAACATAAGGCTCCAAGTTCATAGGGCCCCGAATTTTGAAGCCTAAATGATTTTTCTTTCTTTTTTTCAACATAAAAATTGCTTCCTTTTGCTTTCCCCATTAAATCAACTTTCAAGTTTCAGTTATACGCTTACATGGTTCAATATTCAAGATTATACTAGAAGTGATAAAAAAATAAAATAAGTCGGGTTGGGTCAGATTTAACATTATATCTCGTGTCCTAACCCGCAAAAAAAATATCAAACTTGTCTGCCCAAAATGGGATTTTGGGCTGGTTTCAGGTTTTTAGGCTTGCCCAAACCCGCCTTATTCATATATATGCTTTTCATTCTAATTCCTCATAAATATTTTGTTTGACAAAATTTTCGATACCACTCATCTTCCTCACTTAATCGACAATTAATTAATTTGAAGTCATGTGTTGTGAGTTGTGACATTGCTGTTATTTTATTTATTTCCACTATTCTCCATTTTTAATATATGCTCCAACCTCCTCTTGCATATGGGTATTTTTATTTTTGGTTGCTTTTGGGAGGTGAAGAAGATGAAACTTTGAAATTTGAAGTCGTGTATTGCGACTTTGCTGATTATTTTATTTTATTTTATAATTAAAAAATATGGAGAATAAGATTATACTTGATATGCTTTGTATCTAGCATGGGGACTTGCTATTCAAAAAAAAAAAAGCATGGGGACATTAGTCATAATTTGAATAAAGTTTGGCTTAAATTTGAATTTATTTATTTATTTATTATTATTATTATTTTCATATACCAGTAGACACTAATATACGATTATACGTAATAATTTTAATACAGTTTTGATATTTTTTTATAAATAAATTATAAATATGAAAATGCATACATTTTTTTATGATTAGAAGCCCACTTTTTAATATTATTAGAACAGGGCCTTTAAAATATTTAAGACCACCCACAGTATTACATACATAAACATAGTGTTATTATGTGCATGCTAGTTTAACATACTTCCTAAGGTTATTTTTTAACGTGTACACTTTAATATATATGTACCATGAATTGCAGTACTTGTGGAGAAGATACTTAGGGTTCAACCAAACGTGAAAAAGTTGTACCTTCTTGTAAGGCCTAGAGATGCTCAGGCAGCCGATGTTCGGGTGCAAGATGAGGTATACTACGACCACAAAGTTATATACTTCGTATAAAATTTATCGAACGACTACTATATGTACGTAGTACATTAGTACTGTTTATTTTCTTGTACCGTTGGAAGTACGTGTAATAACATATATATCTTACGTCGTATTTTGTTATTATGTCTTGGACGTAGGTTTTAGGCATGGAGTTGTTCAAAGTGTTAAAAGAAAATTTGGGAACAAATTTTGAGGCTTTCATGTCGGAGAAAATAAGTGTAGTTGCTGGTGATATTTCGTACGAGAACTTGGGAGTTACTACTGATCAAATGAAAGATATGTACAAGAGAATAGATATAGTTATTAATGTTGCAGCAACTACAAAATTTGATGAAAGGTATACATTAAACTAATTATATTAACGGATTTATTTTAGATTAAATTTATACATAAATAGTAATACGAATAGTTTATTTTGAAACGAAGGAAATATAGTTAATTACGAATGAATTAATTTTAATGAGTGTAGGTATGACATTGCACTGGGCGTGAACACCCTTGGAGCAAGAAACGTCGTAAAATTTGCCAAGACTTGTGCTAATATACAGTTGCTCATCCATGTCTCAACTGGTATGTGATCGAATTCAAAGGTTTTATCCGATGATTTTAGATAATCATATATATATATATATATATATATATATATATATATATATATATATATATATATATATATATATATATATATATATATATAATTAGCTAACAAAATTTAACTAATTTTGTGTTTCAGCGTTCGTGTGTGGAGAGAAAAAAGGATTAATATTTGAAAGTCCATATGCCATGGGTGAGACACTAAATGGTGTAAATGGGTTGGATATTGATTATGAGAAGAAGCTTGCTGAACAAACATTAAGTAATCTTAAAGCCAAAGATCTTCCCGAAAAAGAAATCAGACTAATGATGCAAAATTTAGGGAATCAAAGGTATGAATTTTACAAGTATAGTCAATTTAATTTGATATATGGCTGACAACATTAAATTTATTCATATATGGTACATCCCAATTAAGCTTAATTTATATCCAACAGTTCGAGTTTAACCTTAAGATCATGGGTTTGAAATCTAAGTCTCTATTATTGAAAAATTTTGAAAGAGCTGAGAAGTTCTCAATTTTCCTTGGCCAATCTAATTCTATGCTCGGACGTGATCTAAAATTTTCTACTCTAAATTGATTTTCTAATTTAACTAAACTTAGACCTTATTATATAAGCACTAATTCTTAAGAAAAACAAATTGAGTAATAACGTGTAATTTTCATAAGTTTTTATGTATATGAAGATATTTAATAAACAAACACAAATAATATAATTAAACAGATTTGGTCTAACTACTATGTCGATATGATATGATGTGATCATTTTCGAAATAATTAATCAAGTGCTCAATTATATGTATGTACTTAAATAAGTTGAAGTGAAAAAATCTTAATTATTATGTTCAATGCTCTCATTAATCAAATATATTAAAATCTTATAGGACCACATACACATTAGTCGTTCTATTACATGTTTAGAGCCATTTTGTCCTCTTTTCATATTAATGCCACATTTTTCGTATAATCAACCAAAGGTTATTAGGAGTATTAAAAATCTATAGGTTCATTGACACTTCAAATAATTGATTTGATATTAATGTTCTTATTTACTACATAAATTAGGGCAAAACATTACGGATGGCCAAATACTTACGTTTTTACAAAGGCAATGGGAGAGATGCTTGTAGGGCATTTCCGAGGCAATTTACCAGTGGTTATCATGAGGCCTACCATCGTGTGTAGCACATTGAAAGAACCTTTTCCTGGTTGGGTTGAAGGTTGCAGGTATATATTTTTGAACTTAATATCATGTTTAATATGAAATTTTTAAGAATATAATCTTATGTAACTATTACTGAATCGTGTTCATGATCTATATATATACTACCGATGTATTCACAACTAGCTAGTTAGTCACCCCGACTCAAGTCACTCTACACGATTTGTAAATGTAACTTTGTGTGATTCAAGTAATGGGTGACTAAATCGACTTAATATGTATATTACATCGACATAGTGTATATGCTAAGTTTCCTTACCTATATTGGATTTTATAAACTAAGTCTCTCTAATACAATAGCTCTATTACAAACTATTGAACTTATTGGTACAAAGTAGTACGAAATATTAAAATTTTCATTTCTACTTATTTGATTGCAGGACTATTGATAGTGTGGCCGTGACCTATGGAAAAGGTATCCTAAGTATCTTTCCTATAGATAGGAATATGGTCTTTGACTTGGTTAGTCCTCCCTTACCCTTTTCATTTATTATAGGTAATCGTCTCAAGTTACTTTGTCCATTTGACTTTTCAATTTTCGACCATAAAACCTTAATAAAACCGATAAATCAATTTACTACCTCCGGTCCAAATTACTCGTAACTTTGGGGTATTATTTGTGAAATATAAAATATTCCAAAGTTGCGAGTAATTTGGACCGGAGGTAGTATATCATTATTTGCGAATTTTGGCTATAATTTTGATGATGTTAACCAATTAATAACTATGCAGATACCTGCAGATATGTTTGTGAATTCGATAATTGTGGCAATGAAAACCCATGTCCGTATACCTTGTTTGACAATATATCAAGTCGGAACCTCATACAGAAATCCTGTAACTTTTAAAGAGTTGCATGACATCCACTATCATTACTTCACTAACAATCCATGGAGCAATGGTGAAGGTAACCCTGTCATAATTCGGAAATGTCTTGTGTTGAACAACATACAGATATTCGAAATCATTCTCTTCGTATGTCAATTTTTTATTCAAACCGTAAGTTTAATTTTGTTTTATAATTCAACAATAATGTTTTCGCTTATCCTTTAAAATTAATTATTATTGCGATTTTATCTAATTACTCAATTTGTTTTCAGATTCTATTATTTGCTACTAGAATGGGTCTTAGTGACTTGCAACGTACCTTGTTTAATTTCGACAAAAAGCTGAAAAAAGCTATGAAATTGGTCAACTTGTACAAACCCTACTTGTTCTTTAACAGCATGTAAGTTCAACTTTTGAGCTTAATAATAACATAACTTTTTTCTTTAATTCTCTAGCTATTCAATTCTTATGACTAGTAAGAGTAATTGTATCCTTGCTAATGAATGGTTTCTCTTTATAGATTCGTCGATACAAATACCGAAAATTTGATCAAAACTGCCCGTGAAAATGGTTTGGATGAAGATGTGTTTAACTTCGATCCGTTGTGCATCAATTGGAAAGACTACTTCATCAATATTCACATTCCATCAATTGTTAAATATTTGTTCTAGTTGGTATCTTTGTCAGATTTGCAAGGCCTTGATCAACATGTTATTAGTTCGATCAATTTCTTAAACAATCTAGTAACTATGCACTCTTCGGCCTCATTTAAACAAAGAGTTGATGTATCATATATATAAATCTCGAATACTCATGTATGTGGAAAATTTTATTTGCGAAGACTATATTATATAATTAAATCAATAAGAGTTAGTACATATAATAAAATTTTTAATTTTTGTTGCTACATCGATTTATCATTATCTTAAGTGTTTTATAAATAAACAGTTTTTAGGCTTGGAGCCTCGGACGATTTCTCATGCTACTGCATTATTTCCACGATAAAAATCTTTATTAACATTTATTTTTTTAATAAAATGGCATGTAATATGGTAATAGCTTAGTGGCTAGCACTTTTAAGATTAAGCTTAAGGTTGTGTGTTCAAATCTTGTACCATATTTTTTAAACACGGTGTGAAATTAAATTAAACAAGAGAGTGCAACATGGCTTACACATATGGAGTATTAAAATGAGGAGAGAGCCACGTGGCCTTTTGATAGATATTATAGATATGGATATATATCTTCTGCGTTTCATAATCTCTTACTGCCATACATTTTTAACAAAATCTACTTTCATTGTTTTCTGATACATGTAATCAGATTACTTTAGTATACACTCAACGTCAACTTGTTGCACCTGTTTTAATTGACTGAACTAAACTGGACTTATTGTAGCTGAACTGAACTACTCTGAACTAAACTGAATAGAGCTGAAATAAATTATTTATGAGAGTACGAAATTAGGAGCTAAACTGAAATTAACTGATTGAAGCTGAGCTGAACTGATGAATTTAATTGAAGTTAAGTTGAAGAGAACAAGCCCTAACTCTATACAACATAGTTTACAGTAATTATCACAAGCTTATATTAGGTGGCTTTACATATTAATGTATCATCATGATAAAGTCTCAACCTACAACAATATGAAATCACAAGGACAAAATGTTAGTGCATAGCCTTATTAATAAATGGTGTATGTAGAAAACTTGATCCCCATCACAATTTCCGCTTTGGAATTAAGTAGATAAGTGGTTGTGTCAAATCCCATCTCCTAGGGTTCCTTTATTATTGAATTCAATTATCTTAACTCGTCAATTAGCTATAGATGCTGTATAATTGATAATTTATTAACAAATTAAAAAATTTAGTTCTTGTTTAACTTATCGTTTAATTAATGCTTAGCTTATTAGTACACCTTAGTCATTGTGGATTTCGATCCTTGTTTAACTTGTGCTATATATTGGTGAAGTTATGTTTTTGTTTGAATTAGGAGGCTAACCAACAACCTCATTTCCCTATCTATTTTATGGAACATCAATAATTAATTTTGGATCAAATGTTTCTGGTAACTTAGGGTCAAAATAAGTCTAATTTTACTTTACTCTTTAAGAGAAGATGAAATGGTTTTCTCCTTGACGTCATCAATAGGAGTAGTGACAGTTTGTCAACTTTGTCTATTTAGTTTAACTGTCTATAAAACTTACATATTTGTATTGCTTAGTAATCTAACATGTAGTGCCAGTTTTTAATGAATTAGTGACTTTTTCAAAGTTACCTTTTTACATATAGAGATTCGATATTTTAAATATCTATCCGTGTTAACACTTGCTATAGATACCAATATTTATGATCCCTATTGCTAGTAATATACTTATAGTTATCTGTGTCAAATTTAAATAAGCTAATAGAAGTGCTTGGTGATGAGCTGATTTCACCAAATAAACTCATTTTAAATATAAGCTGCTCAGAAAACTTTTTCATTAACTTATTCATTTATTTTAATGCGAAATGACAAATTATACCTTAAATTAATCTAAAACCCTAACACAACTGAAGATGGCAACGTTCATAATAGTTATTTTCCATACTCAAATAACTTCAAGAAATTAGCTTTTTACCAAACACTTTTTTTATAATCAGTTAAACAAAAGTAGCTAACATGACCAATTTTGTCTTAGTGCTTTCCACTAAATAATAATCTCTCTATTCTATTAGTTTACGTTTGATGATTCATTCATATGAGAATCATAATAACATGCAAAATGAAAGTTAAAAAATAAATTACATATATACGTGTTCCAATCAATATTATATATTGATAAAGTATATAAACTAATTTTTAATCAATTTAACCTAAGTTAATGGTTGAAGTCGAGGATTGCTTAATGTTCTATTCTAATGTACTTTATCAAACAGAGTACATAATATATATAAAAAAACCACCACCACCTCTACCACCAACCAACAACCTCTTCACCTTCTTCTTTCCTTTCCCCCTCCCCTGGCAGCAATCCCCTCACCCACCGGACCCGCCACCTAGATTCTCCCACCTCCGGCGACCTACCTTCACCGTCGGTTGACCCTCCCTTTCACCCTTATCTCCGTTGGCAACCACTATCCCCTTCAAATATCTGGTTCTTATCTACTCAAACATGCTCAAATCAAGTCCAAAACAATTGCAATTTGCTTCTAAATCACCCTAGCATCACATACATACAAAATCAAAGTCAAAACAAGCATCAATTACAAGCAAGATATACAAATTTAAAAACTCCTAAATCTGTTTTCTAGGGTTTTTTAAAATTAAGGAGGTGGTTGTTGCCGGCTGTGATAAAAGGGAAAAGGAGGGTGGTTCGGTGGTGGAGGAGGTTGCCGGAGGTGGGGGGATCTAGGCAGCGAGTCTGATGAGAGAGGGGGTTGCTGCCATGGAAGAGGGAAAGGGAAGAGGAAGGAGCTGAGGAGGAGGAGGAGGAGGAGGGAGGAAAGGGAGGAGGAAGGGGAGGGGGTGGTGGGATTTTTTTTATATATATATATATAAATTTAATCGAATTATTTAATATTTGGTGGGTTAGAGGTTAATTAGAAGAAATAAGAAAAAATTAGAGTCTAATTAAGTTAGTTAGAGCGTGATTAAGGAAATAGGTTTCTTCAAGTAAAAAAAAGAACTAGGTGGTTTTTTTTAACCAAAAAGCTTTTAAAAGGTTTTTTTTTTCTTCGCAAAATGGTGCTTTTAAAAAGTTTTTTCTAACAAATTTTCATAAATATTAATATCAAATATAAATGAAGATAGCATTTCATTACTGGTCAAAGCAAGCACTATTTCCGGTTTATGTTCATCTGAACCCCATCTAAGTTGAATGAAGCCCAATATCCCTCTCTGGTCCTTACATGCCAAATAAGGCCCGAGGTAAGCCTGGCTACCAAATTCATTATTGCTAGTTTTGCAACTCCTTCGGTGCCTTTTCTTTTTTATATTTTGACTTTTATGATCAAATTTATAAAATTTTGACTAAAACAATTCACTTTTATGAATATCAAAACTATATCATATGACTTTTTTTTAATCATATTTAACTTGAAATTTTTTTTATTCATGACGAATCTTTTTGTAAGCGTAGTGTTGTCAAAAGACGGGAGCGCGAAACTCTGATAGATATATAACATATTACTGGCTTCAATTATTAGGTTAAACCTTTGGTTGAGTTTGTCCATTAACATGGTATCTAAGCTGATCTGATATACAGGTCATGGGTTCGAATTCCATGCATATAATAAAGAGATAGGGAGAGATGGGGTCTCCCTGCCTTAGACCTCTAGAGGCTTGAAAGGATCTGGTAGGCTTGCCATTCACCATGACTTGGAAGGAGGAGGAAGCAACACAATTCATAATGAGGTTGGTAGAGGGCTCATCAAAACCATTCCTAGCAAGGCAAAATCTAATGAAAGGCCATTCTAGTCTATCATAGGCTTTTTCAAGATCAATTTTAAGGGCAAACCAGCCAGTAGAACTATTCCTAGTTCTCATGGAGTGCAAAATCTCAGAAGCAGCAATGTAGTTGTTCTGGCACCCCCTACCAGGGAGGAAACTACTATGATTGGGAGAAATAATAGAATTTATCCTAGTTCTAATCCTCTGAACAAGGATCTTAGAGATGACCTTATAGACAGTATTGCAAAGACTGATAGGCCTATACTACTTAATTGATTCAGGGTTCTGGACCTTGGGAATAAGGCAGATGGAAGTTCTATTCACCTCAGCAGGGATAGAGAGAGAGGAGAAACAGTTCTGAGAGAACTCTAAGAGGTCCTTCCAAATGAAGGACCAATGCTTCTGATAGAAAAAAAGGATGGAACCCATCCATACCAGGTGCTTTGAATTTTTTCATGCTAAAGAGAGCCTGGTGCACTTCATACAGGGCAGGAGGGTGGGAGATACAAAAGGAAGACCCATAAATAGGTTGACCAAGGGGGATAGTAGCTTCAGAAGTGAAAAGATTGGAGAAGTAGTTAGCAATATGGTAATGCAGGCAAGAGCTAGACACAGGTTCACCCACCTCATTTGACAAATTTTGGATTCTATTATAAGATCTCCTAATAAGGACAGAGTTATGAAAGAAGGATGTATTTCTATCTCCTTCAGTCAACCAATTAGACTTAGCTCTCACTACCTAGAAAGCTTCTTCCTGGGCATAAGCAGAGGACAGGGAGCAGGACAGGTGGGACTCAAGATTATGCAGGAATTGGTTATTTGGTTCCCTTTCAAGGGCACTTTGGACACCAGCAATCCTTCTATGGAGCTTTTTAGTAACAAGCAGAGGGTTAGGAACAACAACCTTAACCCAACACATAATGGAAGAGGAAATGGACTTTAGTTTCAGATGGATAGGCATAGAATCAAGGGGCCAAGCATTTTCAACCAAATTTCTAAACCCAGGATAGAAGTACCATAAAGGTTCCATTTTAAAGGATCTCAGTGCTTGGTCAGAAGGCTGAGGCTGAACACATTGGAGTTTAATAGGACAATGATCAGAGGTGTCCCTAGTGAGATGAGTAAGGCTAGTTTGAGGAAATTTCTGGATCCATAGGGAGTTTATCAGGGCTCTGTCTAATCTCTGGAAAATAGGCCTCCTCTTTATTTTATTAGACCAGGTAAATCTATTCCCAATGAACCCCACATCAATAAGGCCACAGGAATGGATGCATTCAATAAATCTAGCAGCCCTTCTTTGAACAATGGGCCTACCCCCCAATTTTTCATTAGCAGCAACAATCTCATTAAAATCCCCAATAAAAATCCAAGGCACATTAATAGAAGCACACAAATTTTCCAAATCATTCCAAGTATCAATCCTACCCTTAAACTTAGTACTAGCATAAATAGCAGAAATAAAAAAAGAAAAATTTGAGGAGACTACCTTAAACACACCATGAATGGCATGGATGTCCCTGCTGACAGAGCAAAAGTCCAGCACCTCAGATTTCCAAAGGAGAAGCACCCCTCCAGTTAATCCTCTAGGTTCAGCCAGCTCAAAACGATCATAGGGAAGGTCTTGGATTATGTGCTTGGTGTGAGCACGACTAGTTTTGATTTCAGACAGAAAGATGATATCAGGGGTGTGTTCCTGAATGAGGTGATGCAAATTTGTGAGGGAACCCTTTCTGGCGATTCCCCTCGCATTCCAGGCAACAATTATCATGGGTTCAGGCAGAGGGTCTCGAAGGAAGATTTCCTTCCTCATATGGAGTGGGGTTTGGGGTCCTAGATTGAAGAATTCGTACATCTTGGAGGAGTGAAGTCTGGTGTTTTGCGGCTGGAACACTGCTTCCATCAGCCACAGTTGCAGATCCACATCCAGGAAGAACTTTGCAGTAACCTCCAGCTGCCTGAATTCCATCTCTGTTTTCGTTACAAAAAGGTCATTGCTTGCTTCTAAGAAGGTCAGTTTCTGAGATTTTGAGGTCAATGTATAGATCTTTCTTAATTGAGGGAGCATCGGAGATGGATCCACCAGAAAAGCCAGTTGTGGATGTACAATCCAAGGGAGGTTTTGAAGTTGAGCTTGGTTCATCCACCAAACGAGGAAAGCTTCCAAAACCGGGCACATCGCCTTCAGATCGCAGAGGGAGGGAAGATGGCCTGGTAGGAGAGTCCCCTCCGGTTTCTTGACCATCATCAGCTCTAGGTACGGGGCATCCACCAGATAGGGGTGAAGGATGAAGGAGCGGATCTGATGAATGGTAATCCGCACCCATTTTGACAGGGTTTCGAGAAGGAACTCCATTTTGTTCACATCCGTTTCCGGATATGTTGGGATTGGAGGATCTAGACATTGCACAGAGATTGGGTTCCCCTTGGATCGATCTACCAGGATCGGGAATGGAGGTTGAAGAGGTTGTTTCTGAAAGGGTAGGTAGAATCGAGGATTTTTGATGTGGTACTGACACATGTGTTTGATGAGAGATTGTGGGTAAGGAATTGATTCCTCCTCCTCTGAATCTGTCTCGTGTTTGATAGGGCAATCCGAAAACTGGTCCGACTCGCTGGAAGACATTTTTGCTATGGGTTCGTTTTGCAAGTGGTAGATTCTTGGCTTTTTGTGGGGCGTTGACTGGTTTTTGGTTCAGAGCTGTGGTGGGAGATGAAGAAGGTGTAGCTGCAAAGAGAAAGTGAGGGTTAGGGTTAGGGTTTGGATTTGGGATCTGGTTGTTAGACGAGGGCAAAGGAGTGAGTGAATCAACGGCTGTGATTGAATCCAATGGTTGATATTGCGACACAGGGGCTTGGGTGGTTGAGCAATTAATAAGGGTAGAAGTGGAATTTCCTTTTTCTATGGGTTTGGAATTACCCGGGTTCGATCCTTTTTGAATTGATTTTCCATTTTTGGCAAATTCCCGCTTCTTTTGACTTTTCGATTGAACTGTAATCCACTCACCCTCCTCCGGTGAGTCGACATCCATCTGGTTGGTAGATTGCTTATCCGCCGGAGCATTTCCCGACAATCTAAAGCATTCAGAATCGGAATGACCAATTGCTGAGCAGAGAGAACAGATAGGGGGTATATGACCATAACAGAGGTCCTGCTTATGAGCTCCCAACCAAACAGAGTGCTTTCTTTTTGCTTCAAGGTCGATTAGGCAAAGAATTCTGGCTTCTTGGAAGCGGTTCGAAATTGAAGGAGAGGAATCAGCTTTAATGAATAACCCTAGAGAATTTCCAACCTGGCGAAGGATGAGCGAGTTGTGGAGTTCAATTGGGAGTTCTGGGAGGGTAATCCAAACAGGGACAGAGGTAATTTTGGCTTTCGAAGCTACAAAGCCTGCTTTCCATGGTTGAACATGGACTAGGAATTTCCCTATAAACCAGGGACCCTTCGATAAGATTCTACTCTGCTCCTAAGAAGAAGGGAGATTGAGAACATAGAAACCTCTGCAAAGGGATTGAATAGCAGCATTGGGTTGGAAGTTCCAGAGGGAGGACAGTTTTGATTTTAAGTAATCAAAGGATAAGGATTTACCAATAATCTTAAAGATAACAGCATGTATCCAAGGAGACACAAAATCGGAGATTGAATCCAAAGGAATGGGGATGACAATGTCAGAGTCGAAGACGGAGGAGGCAGAAGGAGGCGAAGAAAGAGACGGGAAGTCGGTTGGGTTGATGATTGAAGATTGAGGGCGTAGGAGAGCATCGGAGAATTATGCCACGGGAATTCTAAATTCGTGGCATAAATTGATCTAGCCACGGGAAAAATAAAGTCAACAAAAAACTTGATTTGTCAACAATATATTATGCCACGGGAAAAAGGAAATTCGTGGCTAATTGAAACTTGTGCCACGACTAAATTTCTTTTCCGTGGCAAATAAACACTTATGCCACGACTAATTATGTTCCTGTGGCAAATTGACACTTGAGCCACAACTAATATTATTCTCGTGGCAAACAAACACTTGTGTCACAGCTCACAGGTATTATTTTCGCCGTGGCATTCAATCTAACACTTGTGCAATATAAAAATTTATTTTTGTGGCAAACATATATTGATACAAACCGATCACGTTGTTTAAGAAAAATAAACTAGGATTAATTCCGTGAATCTTACAACATAGAAGTAATTATTATTTTTATGGTTTAATTTACAATTATTTTTAACCAAGAGATATATCTAATTCCAATAATAACAATAATAATAATAATAATAATAATAATAATACAATTTAAATCAGAATTTATAGGAAAAAAAAATTAGAATTTTATTTATATAAATTAAAAGTTTGTACATTGTTATTTATAAGGAAAATTACAAAATTAAATTATCACTAGTTAAACTAAGAATTCCTTCCCGAAAAAAAAAATTAAAAAAAAAACAACTAACAAAAAACAATTAAAGTTAAAACTAAATCATTTTGTCCCCTAAATAATTTCAGCAATTATTCTTTGGACTGCATTATCATTTGTTTCTCTTGCTTGCAATTTAGGAACAATTCAGGAAGCATCTTCTTCAGCTTTAGTATCCACCTCTAGCATTTTTACACATATCCAATTGATCTAAATCCCCTGATAAACAAAACAAATCAAAACGGTATTTTATATAGATTAATTGAGCACTAAAAAAAAGGAACTTGATGTTTTTTCCCCCCACCCTGAAATTGAAACACACTACTAGAATCGAGTTCATTGAGGACATAAAATCCCGTCGTAAACCTATCATAAAGGTTCATTTATGAATGCATTTTCCATCCAGAGCCCGTCCTAGAAAGGGGTCGTCGTAGAATGTATAACCTGTTATAATCCCATCGCAAAAGCCAATTACCAAGGGCTAAAATCCCGTCATTAAAGCCATTTACGACGGGCAAAAATCTCTTTAAAACCTTGTTGTACTTTTATCATTTACAAACCTGCTCCAACAACTCGAACAAAACAAACAGAACGACTACTACGATAAACAAAGCAAACAGGCTTTTATATGTAACCAGCCAATTAAATCAAACAAGAACAAAGCAAATTTGTATCATAAACTTGCTTACACTCTTTTTTTTCATAGACTTAAATAATCCTCAGTTACACTACTTGAGAAATCTCAAATCTAAGTGATATAATTAGTTTGCCAGATAAACAAATTAATCTAATTTATTTAACAATATGAAATAAGTCACCAACCTTCAAATCATTAGAAGGAGAAGAGACGACACACATAAAATCATTAGAAGGAGAATACAAACCTGCTAGTATAGAATTCAAGGCAGCCTGGTGATATTGTATAAAGTACTGCAGAAAAGAATGTCGAGATTCAGAGAGTGTAATAAACAAAACAAATAGAGCGACTGCTATGATGGTAACCATAGATTGATCAAAAGGCCTTGATATCATGCATGTCAGCATTGATACACCTAGGAGTGTCGAAAAGAGGGATGATACCACTAGGTTGTAGAGAAGTACCTATTGAGAAACACCAGTGCAAAATTTGTAATAATTTCCATCACCATTAGTGGTAGTTAAGTAACTTCTTGAATGCCAGCCAAAGAATGGGAAAGGGATGTAATAAAATGAATAGATTAAGCAGAATAACCCCCTATAAAAACAAGAAGAAATACATTTCATGGGTTTCTGCATGGCAGCATCTACTGCATCATGGATTTCAGAATTGTGTAATTCATAAAAGCTGCTCCACTTCTGGAACTCTCGAGTTGTAGTAAAACAACTCTAACAGAGCAAATAGATGAGACTAAGGCTATGTTTGGATAACAAAAAATGGAAGGAAAGGAAGGGAAGAAAAAGGGAGGGAGACAAACTTCCTTGTTTGGATAAAATGTTGGGGGAGGGAAGGGGAGGGGGAGGGAGGGATCCATTTTCCCTCCTTTAATAAAGACCATCCCTTCAAAATTGGAGAGATTTGGAGGGAAAATGGAGCTCATCATTTCCTCCACTTTCCCTTCCTCCCTCTTCCTCCTATTTCCCTCCCTTCCATTTCCCTTTTTATTTGTTATCCAAACATAGCATAATGAACTACTTACGGGGAATTATGTGTTTCACAAAGATGGTACGCCAAAACTACTCCACCCTTAACTATATCATTCTATCCTCATTATATGGAAGATATTGTGACTGATAAACAGCAAGGACTCAACCCAAGTCGGGTTAAGATAATGGTGCTGCTAAGGTTTTATGTCCAAGATAAAATTCTTAGATGTAAGGTTCTTCTATTTGCAGGTATAAATTTGTAGGATAATTAAGCAATAAAGCAACACTAGCCATAACAATTCACTTGATTATTAATTCGATTAACTTAATGAACATCATTATCTCTCGGCTTTTCATTTATGATTCGAATCAAGTACAACAAGCACACAATAGTGCGACAACAAGTGGCCAGCAGCAGTATTATCACAAAAACAGGAAGGGATGAAATAGTAGGGTAGCAACAGAGGGAAATACTAGGGAAGCAACAACATAAGGACTGCATTTTACTATCAAATAAATTTACATATATACAAGTTTCGAAAACAAATCGAATACGAGACACTGCTAAGTGAAACAAAAGCTACTAATAGAAATCCATGAATACACACGCTTACACAAGCAACATCATTGAGCTAAACAAGCAGCTTTTGGCAAAAGTAATAATAAAACAAAAACAAAAAAAAACAAAAGCCACTCCTTTAGATGGTATGTTACTGAGGCTCCACTGGTGCCTAAGTGTCAACAATGAGTGGTGACCCTGTAATCGCTTAGATCCACCTAACTTCTGAGATAACGAATCAAGGTGATTAAAATCACCCTGAACAAGAATATTAGGGGGCAAAGAATGGAACATGGTATAAAGCTGGTTCCAGACAGCAGAACGTAACTCAAGGTAAGGCGAGCCATACAAAAGGACTAGAGTCCATTCATTCATAGCATAGTGACACACATCTGAGACAGAGCAAATAAAAAAGTTTGGTACATTTCACCCTAACCGACAAGGGTATACTCATTATCCAAAACATTCAAATGTAGCATGTAGAGTAGACTCAATACCATTCCCACAGTCACACACACCGCGTTAGAGAGAAAATGCATATAATGTAGCCTTTCTCAAACTGCAAAGAAACCCTTACAGGCCCTCCAAAGTGTCTAAGCTAATTTCTATTATGTGTCCATATTTCCATTTATCATCCACAAGAAGGGAAAAATAAAACCTTTTACAAAAATATTAAGTATAGATATTATGTGTCTAGTATAAACAATACTACAGAAAGGCATATTTTTCTCAAGAAAGGGTATGTATATCCTGTTAACTTCACTGATTCAGCACTACATTTTCCAATTACCACATCGTGGTTCCATCAATGTATAGGTCTTCTATATGATAAGCTGCTGCACAGCTCTCACTAGAACTTTTATCGATGGTTGAAATACTAAGAAGAAATTAGAGGGTATATGATGTTCTAACCAATTGGACGCAATCAGTAGATAGCATAAACAATATATAGCCCCAGAAAAAAAAAATTAATAATGTTGATGGCAAATATATAATCCAATAACAGACACTATTGACATTTATAAACAAGGTAGTTTTCTTCTTAATTGTCTACAATGTACAGCCAAAAACGATTACCTGCATTCCATGTTTTTTTGCACCTTTTGCATCAGCTAGAGGCTGTCATGAAACAATGATCTATTTTAAAATGCAATCTAGCTAGTGAAATCAGTTCTCGAAAACGCATCAGGCATCATATTCATTGATGAAACTGATTAACTTTTTGATCGCTAATGATCGATTAAACGAGTAATTCAAAAGACATGCTTGTCAACCCCACCCTAATAAAAATAACAACTGCAGAAATTAAGCATTCTATTGATCATAAACATTACAAATAAGGTATCAAATGAACTTAGAAAGCAATCATAAATAAAAAAAAATTACTGAAAACCCAACAAAAGCAATTACAAACTTAGTGTATTGGGTTTACTTAATCTTACTAATTCCCGGGAAGCATAATGCACAGGACCTAGAAAAATTATGGAAAACGATTATGCAGAATTCTTGGGAAAAAAATAAAGTAGAACTAACTAGAAAATATGGAAAAAGATTATGCAGATATCATCAACTAGAACCTAGAAAAATACAGCAAAAAAAATGGCAAAATAATTATACGATATACCACTGAATAAAACGTGAGGAACACTCTTCAATTTCTACAAAATTAACAATTATCAAATAAAACCCAAAAAATTCAGGCTAAGCAATATAACCCAAAAAAATCAAATATTTTCAGAACTCAATGCAGATCCGACCTCAAATCACCCATAAAATGCCCAAAAAAAAAAAAAAAAAAAAAAGAACAAAAACAACTAAATCAAGTAATTATTAATACATCAGCTAATTCGCTGATGGTGACTAGATTGAATACAATTTCACTACCCATGGAAACCTCAAATTGATATCACTCATGTTTGGGTCCAATTTAGTCCAATTGGGCCTAGGCATTAAATGATCCAATTAAAAGCCCAAGATCAAGGTTCATCTCTCCAATTGTGCTAAAGTCAAAGATCAGTCCTCAAGGCAAGCCAATTGGGCTAAGGCCCAACTTCTCCATGTATGCAAAGGTATAAAAGCCATCAATATTACATTTGTACATTCATTCAAGCAAAGCCTCAAGCAATTAATTCTCTTGCATAGTGTTCTCTTTCTACACACTGTACTGACTTTAGCATCGGAGGGGCCTTCCTCGGCAACACCCCCGAGGCTAGTTTACGTGTGTTTACTGTGCAGGAAACCTTCGGCCCAACATTACTTGGATCGAATCTAGTCTTCTCCACTTCATCGGACCTTCGACAAGGTCCCATTGTTTTCACCCGAAACAATTTGGCGCCGTCTGTGGAAAAGACTTTCAAAATTCTTTAAGCCAAATTTCTAACCAAGATCATCTTGCAATAATCTTAGTAGCAATGGCTAAGAACCGCAAGAGCAAAGGCCTCTGTCAAGGAGCAGGCGAAAAGCCTAAAACCCCTACACCATCACCCTCGCCGGACCGGAACTCTCCCGAGGGTGCCAGCTCGGGGGGAGGATCATACAGGGAGGATTCCCTTTCTCCCGTAATTCATAACTCTCATCATAGGCCGAGTCACTCTCGGTCTAGCAGGGGTGAGTCCGATCATAGGACACATTCAGTGCCCCAAAGCCAACCATCGACTGTGCGCTCTCATTCCCATACTCGGCCGAGGACCCCTTTGGCGGGGCCCAGCTCGGAGGAGGTGGCAAGAGCGCTGGCAGTGCTCATGGAGGCAATGAGGGCACAAAATATGCCACCACCTCGTGATCGAACTCCTCCGCATACCCGGCATCAACGGAGGAAGCTAGACCATGATGGTGGGAAGCTTCCTTCCTCCCGGGAACTGGGAGAGTGGGAAGAGGATACCTGGAAAACTGAAAAAGAGAGGAAAAAGAACCCTCAATTTTTCAAAGGATCCTCATCCTCCCGACCTGAAACGCATAAGAGCAGCAGCTCAGCTTCTCGGCCAGAATCTACTCACCGAGAACGACCTGAGACTATTCGCCGAAGCGTCCTCGAGCGACTCGGCGGCAAGGAACCGAGCGTGCACAGTCGCCTCTCGTTCCCTGCGGCCGAGGCCCAGACTTCCCAGCCAGGGACGAAAACCACTCCTACCTCTCTAAGAGGGCGGAGCGCGGTCCCTTCGGCCAAGAACAAGGGCAAGGTCGTTATGCTACCCGCCAGTTCGCCATTCGAGCAATGGATACTGGAAGAGCACGTGCCCACGGTTAAAATACCGTCGCACATCACATATGACGGGACCTCGGATCCGAAGGACCACGTGGCCTTGTATGAGACTCATATGCATCTTTGCCCCAGATCCGAAGCGACTTGGTGCAAATATTTCCCAACCACTCTCAAGGGGGTCGCGCAAGCGTGGATCTCCAAGGGAGTAAAGCAAGGCTCCAAAACAGGGTGGGATGATCTGTCCTCCAAATTTAGGAGCAAGTTTTCCACGGCAAACCGCCGACAGAAGACTATTGCAGAACTCATGAGTCTGCAACAGGGGGAAACCGAAAGCCTCCGAGACTATCTGACCCGTTTCAGTAACGAGTCATCCAGCGCCTCTCAGCTGGACCAGGGACTAGCCGTTTTTGCAATGCAGAATGGCCTTCAGCCCGGGAAGTTCCTAGACTTCATGGTCATGCATACCCCGCAGACCTTGGACGAAGCTCTGAATGCCTCGGATAAGTTCATCCGAGCCGAAGAATGGAACAAAGCGAAAACCCAACCTCAATTCGGGGGAGGGAAACAAAGACAAATACCCTTGTCTGAAGGCCAAGGCCATAAGGAAAAGGGAAAGTCAAAGGCCTCGGAGCAATCTTCGGCCAGCGACCCAAAGAAGGAAAAATCTGCCTCATACACAGGCAGATACGAGTCCTACACTCCGCTCTCTCTTCCACGCGCCAAAATTTACAGCGTGACGAAGGAGGAGTAGAGTTACCGAAAGCCGAGACCACTCCCAGAGTGGTATCAGCGAAAAAATAAAAATCAGTGGTGCGAGTTCCACGAATCTCCTAGACACAACACCGAGGAGTGTATCCAACTGAAGGACCAGATAGAGGACATGGTCCGGAAGGGATACTTGAAAAAATACATCGAGGATCACCGCGAGAAAAAAGAGTCCGAGAAGTCAGCAAAGGACTCTCGGCAAGACCTCGATTTCCCCCGGAAGAACAGTAAAAAGCCGGAGGGGAAATTCTCTCCGATCAATGTTATCTCGGGAGGAATATGCTCTCGGAGGGAGCACAAGAGACACCTTAGGGCTTTGACTCACCAGGTGAACAACGCTGACATTCAGTCTCCCCAATCGCCGGTGCCGAACATGACGTTCACAGCCGCCGACTGCCGGGGGATAACGTTCCCTCACGAGGATCCGTTGGTGATCATCGCCACGGTGGCCAACCACGACGTCAGTAAGGTCCTTGTTGACGGTGGAAGCGGAGCAAACATTCTGTTCCGAAAGGCCTACAATCAAATCAAGCTGAAGCCCAAGCACCTTACGCCGGTACCCTACCCGGTATCCGGGTTCAACGGGGCTTCAACTTATCCAGATGGGAAGGTGACACTTCCTATCACCATCGGCTGCGATGAGGCAGCCAGGAACGTCATGATTGAATTTTTGGTCATTGACGCTCCTTCAGTGTACAACGTGATTTTGGGGAGACCCATAATTCATGAGATCCAAGGGGTCGTCTCAACTTATCATCAGCTGATGATTTACGTCTCAGACGCTGGCTTCCCCGAAAGGATACAGGGCAACCAAAAGGACGCCCGAAGGTGAAACTACCTCAAGCCATCCAGTAGCCGCCCAGATGACGACAAGGATGAGGAGGAGAAAGAAAAAGAAAGAGAGCCAAGCACAAAAAAGCCGAAAGGCCTAAGTGCTTCGGCCCAAGGATCTGTACCCAGAGGTAAAGGGCCCGAAAGGGAAAAGGCTAGCTCTTCAGCTGAACAGCAAGACTCAGAGAGCCAGCCGAAGAAACAAAAGACTGGGACACCTGCTGACATAGGCAGCAGACCAGATTCTGAAGAGTCCAGCCCATCAGCAATGGACATGGACCAACTGACTGAAACAGTTGAGTTGGCCGAAGGAGACGTTGAGAAATGTGTAACAATCGGGATGGACCTTGATCCGAACACCCGTTGTGAACTTATTCAGCTCCTTCGGGACAACAAAGATGTGTTTGCTTTCTCGGCAGCTGATATGCCCGGGATAAGTCCAGACCTCATCTCCCATAAGCTTAATGTTGACCCAACGTGTCGACCAATTAAGCAAAAGAAGCGGAATTACTCCGCTAATAAGAACCGAGACATCGCAGCCGAGGTCAAAAAATTGGTGGAGGCAGGCTTCATCGAGCCTTGCCAATATCCAGAATGGCTGGCAAATGTGGTGATGGTTCAGAAGGCCAATGGTACCTGGAGGATGTGCGTTGACTTCACGGACCTAAATAAGGCTTGTCCGAAGGATTTCTATCCCTTGCCGAGGATCGATCAGCTAGTCGATTTGACAAGTGGCCATGCCTTGCTTAGTTTCATGGACGCATTCTCGGGGTATCATCAGATCTTCATGCACCCCAACGATCGAGCAAAGACAGCATTCGTCACGAACGCTGGGGTGTACAATTACAAAATGATTCCCTTCGGATTGAAAAATGCGGGGGCAACCTATCAAAGGCTGGTGGATCAAGTTTTTTGCCGATCAAAAGGGCCGAAACATGGAAGTCTATGTCGACGATTCGATCGTCAAAAGAAAAAAACCTGAGGACCATGTTATGGACCTGGCTGAAACTTTCGCCACCTTAAGAAAGCATCAAATGAAGCTGAATCCGAAGAAGTGTGTCTTCGGCGTGAAGTCAGGGAAATTCCTTGGGTTCATAGTCAGCAAAAGGGGGATTGATGGCAATCCCTCCAAAGTCAAAGCAGCGCTCGACCTTCCTGAGCCGAAAACAAAGAGGGATGTTCAGCGGCTCACCGGAAGAATGGCAGCCCTCTCGAGGTTCATTTCCAGAGCTTCGGATAAGGGGTTACCTTTCTTCAAAGCCCTGAAACTCCCGAAAACAAAAGAGCTCGTTTGGGAGGAAGAGCAAAAAGACGCCTTTAA